CAAAGGGGCAGATTTCTCTTAATTTCAGTTAAGTGAAAGTTTCATTAAGAAAAGAATAACCAGGCATCAAACCAGTCCTCCGTGTCTTAAGAAAATGCACAGATATCTCCTCTTAATGTACTTGCCTGGAATCTGTCACAAAAGCAAAGATTAATCCCCCAAAATGCTGGGCTGTGGAATGAACCCAGCTAAAGGGAAGCATTTCATGAGTCCCATTCCTATGATGCTCCAATGTAGGCAAGACCACACTGCCGTGAAAATCCTAGAAGTCTGTTTGTGTCTGGTGTGAGCTAAACCTGCCTGGGAAGGACGGTTCAGGAAGTGACATTTTCAATCATGGCAGGAGTTTAGATTGTCTCAGTGTGCGCCCTCGCTAAACTCATTTCCTAGTTAATGTAGGTTTCCTCAAAAACATATGTAAACACAGTAAAGTGCCCAGGATACAGCTATGAGTCAACATGGAGTTCACTGATGTTTCTGCCTTATTTTAAAATATATCCAGGGACCAGATGGATGGAAATAGAATGTGATAGGGTGTAGTAAAGAACTGACATGAGGATGTTAATATTGTAATTCCTCCATTTTTACGTATGCTTGTAAGTGCTCTTGATACAGTCCGAGGGCCAGAAGCTAAGTGCCTTGAAGACCCGGGGTGCACAACCTTTGTTCTTGATTGGTAGCACTTGCCCTATTGTGCCAGATGGAAGCCAAATTCCTAGCTTCTGTATGGAGCTTGAAGTGCTTCTGGTTTTCACATAGACAGTCCTAACATAATATGAGAGTCTGCTTTGAATAGATAGCTTAAATATTCAGTCCCAAACTGTGCTTCATAGAATTCTTAAAGCACAGGTATTCCATTTGCTTTCCTTTTGATACTCTGATGTGATAAATATTCTCCAAAGCAGCTGTGTTCAGTGTCTGAGAGCTGAGCTGTGACTGTACAGGCCTGAAGCTCCAGCACAGGGTGTTGTGCAGTAGCCAAGGCCCTAACATCTGCCTAGATGCATTTGGTATCACTCACATTATCAGTATTGAAGGAATGTAATCCTTCCAATAAAGCAGGACTGAAGGTTCTTACTTACTTCTCCATCTTCACAGCAATTCTGAGAGGACGATATTGTTTTTACCACTCTATCTTTCATCTCGGAGGCAGAGCAGATTCAAGGAACCAGTTCAAGGAAAACAGTGAGGAAGAGATGGCACAAGAATGTCCATCTGGTTTAATAAAATAAACACAAAAATCCTTCTTGCTAGAGGTTGGAGAGGCTCAGTGGTAGAGTGCCTGGAATACTGGGGTTCAGTTCTCAAAACCCAAAATATTGCTAAAACTGTAGTTTTTGATTTCAAGAATTTTATTTGTGTCATTGACATTCCCTTTACTTTTCATCATGGGTTTAAAATTTAAGATGCTCCTATCAGGCAGAGGTAGATGGATTTCTTTGAATTTGAGGCCAGGCTGGTCTACATTGTGAGCTTAGGGCTACCCAGTGCTATATGGTGAGACCATTTCTCAAAAAGTAATTATTTTAAGGTGAACTATTTGGTCTTTAGATGGAGCCAAAATTACATTTTCTATTAGGAAACCTAGATCAAATGCTTCCATTGCTTCTCTGTCTCTGTCTCTGTCTCTGTCCCTGTCTCTGTCTCTCTGTCTCTCTGTCTCTCTCTCTGTCTCTCTCTGTCTCTCTCTGTCTCTCTCTGTCTCTCTCTCTCTCTCTCTCTCTCTCTCTCTCTCTCTCTCTCTCTCTGCCTTTCTCTGTGTGTGTGTCTTTCTGTCTGTGTGTCTGTGTGTCTGTGTGCACACGCACTACGGATTGAACCCAGAGACTTTTCCATGTGTCTTTCTACTAAGATATACTTCCTGCCCCTATATCAATTTATTCTTACTTTCAGCCTAAATTTCATTTATATTGTCATCTCTTAGGTACATAAAGAGAGAGAAGGCCTCAAAATAAACAAAATCATTAATGATTTATTTCAAAATGAGCAATTAACCCTGTATATATCAAGAGAGACTTGACTGTATTGAATCACCTAGAATATCAGTTTCTTCCTTATTCTGAAACACAGTATTGGGTGGAACAAGGGGCATTTAGGTTTCTTTGCAATTCTGTGCACCATATTTAAAAGGTAATAAACTTTGTGTGTAGATGTTCCAAAATTTTAGACTTTTTCCTCAGAATAGGTTTTCCAAAGTGAAATTATGGTGTAGATTTTAATTTATTTGTTTACATAAGTTATTCAGTTGTGTCCCAAATTGTTCTGTGGATTGATATTCATACAAATAATGAATAATACTTCTATTATCTTCCAAACATAACATCTTTTTGTCTGAATATGAAAGTAATCTATCCTAACTGAAGATAATAAAGACCCTAATAAGTACTCATAAATAAATACTTCAATTGCTTGTTTAGCATTTTGAATAGATGAATAAAACACAAATATATTTTTTCTATAATACATTAATCTCAAATGAATATTTTGACTTTTGTTTAACAAAACTTACTAATCAGCTTAATAATAAAGGAAAATCTTAATGTAAACTGAAAGAAACTGGCAAGCTGAAGTACTTGATTATTTAAATATAATTAAATATATTTCTGTGTGCTGAAGAATGCCTTCTGAATGGGTCCCAGCTACAGTGGGTTCTGCATGCCATACGGATGTGGAGAACAAGGGGAGTGCATGTGGTAATTGGGGCCATGGTTGATCATTAGGAGCTAAAAGCAAAGGATGCTATCTGTTACTTGGAAAGGTGACTGCCACTCAACAATGTGACCATGGGAAGGTGCCATATTATTGCCAAACCCCTACACATACATTTGTGATGGCATCTTAAAAATCTGTATGCACAGAAGCATGAAACAGTTGTTCCTAGTGGAGGAGAACACCAGAGCAGCTCACACTCTTAGCTAAAAGTAGACCAGACAAATTGGGTCAAGTCAAAATCATATTTGAAAGAATTTTGGAGTTACCCTGTCTTTACAGGTAGGAGATCGGGACCCGAACCTATCAACTGCACAGTTCCTATGTGACAGCCCTCACTTCTGATGAATTAGTTAGAGAAAAAAGAAGGAGGCTAGAGAGATTCCCATACAGTTAGAGAGGATGAGAAGATTGCTTCATAGTGTCTGTAAATGCCTTGGGTTGATTATGTGGTGTCTGAACATGTGCAGGTTGCTTACTGTGGCTCCATCATGCAAGGCCAGACGGATGATGCTCTTAGAACAACCCAAGGGGAGGGAACAAAGAAGCCTATAAAACAGTAATGCATATTGTAAAAGTACCTGAAGAAAGTACCACTGTGTTGACATTGGCCTTATTTTGTGCTCTGTCCCCTGGTTACTGTGACTGTCAAGGGAGCAACTTTGCCAACACAGAAAAATCTGGCCAGTTCCAAATGTAATGTCTAAACCCACAGGCCATATTTCTTCACTCTTAGGATAATTTTGGTTCAAAGTCTATCCTTTAACAAGCTCCCTGCTTCAAAAGCTCCAAGCCTCTTTGTTTTGTTCTGCTTGCCTAAACATGTCTCCCCCAAAGCCAGGTTGTAAATATCATTTTATTACTACCCTCTCCTTTGCTTCTGAATGTAGACTACTGAGTGCATTTCTGTGGTCTAACTTTGGCCCCTAAGTTTTGCATGTTTTCTTGGTTTAAGTCTGTGTCTTGACACGCTGTATATTGGCAGCGGATGCAGGGCAAACATATGGACACCCATATTGGTTGGATTAACACAATGTGAAAAAGACAAAAGGGCATGTTGGTCTCTTACTATCCTACTGATTTAAAGTGTTGTCTTTACGCTAAAATAAATAAATAAAAAATAAAAAAAACTTTGAGTATTCTATAATCAGAACTTTGATTTTTTTCCTTTGATTATTCTAAGGAGTATTTTTAGTTTCTAACAGTTGACTTTTAAAAATCCGTTTTCATTGACTTTAGGTATACAGAATTGTGTGGTTAGAAAACATTACCTATTGTGTGTTGTGTTTTTGGAGACTCTTTGTATATACAACAATGTAGCACACTTATTTTCTGAGAAGTAAAATGTTCATTGCATTATTAACTCACCTTGCAACTATATCATCCACATGGATTTGATGGATAGCTTTCTCTACAGCATTCTTAAGTCTATCCTGTTTTAGAGACTACTGTGGTTAATCTTGATGGTCAACTTAACAAGATTTAGAATCACCACAGAAACAGATATCTGGGCATACCTGTGAATAATTGTCTAGATTAGGTTCATTGATGTGGGAAGTTCTATCCTGTAGGTGTGCAGCACCATTCCATGGATGGGGTCCTCAAACTCAATAAAAAGGAGAAAGGGAGCTGAGTGGTATTCACCTCTCTCTGCCTCCTGACTGTGGGTGCAATGTGGCCAGCTCTTTCACACTTTGGTTGCCATTCCTTTTCCACCATAGTTGACTGTCTTCCCTAGAACTGTAAGTTGAAATAAACCCTTCCCTCCTTAAGGGGCTTTTGTCTGGTATTGCCCCAGAAACAAGATAAGTAACTAATACAAAACCTCTGAAAGCCGGATGGTGGTGGGCACATGCCTTTAATCCCAGCACTCAGGAGGCAGAACCAGGCAAATCTCTGTGAGTTCAAGGCCAGCCTGGGCTACAGAGTGAGTTCCAGCAAAGGTGCAAAGCTACAAAGAGAAACCCTGTCTCGAAAAAACAAAAACAAAAAACAAACAATAACAAAAAAACTCTATAAAATTTCCATCTCCCCCACCTTGAACTTTTAATGCTTTGCTTTCTCTATATCCTTAATATCACATGATCGCATGTATCACAGGGATGAGCTCTGTCTTACTATGGATTACAGCTGTGTAAACTTAAACATCTCTTACCACATCAGCATTGTGGTGGCTTTGATCAAAGATGACTGTTAGTCACTGTGGCTCAGAAAGCTGACGAATATTGTTTTGTTGTGGTTTGCTACCTTACTCAGCACCTTCTGAGAAACCTCTTTCCCTTTTATTCTAGTTTGCCAAGGCACAAGTAACAGGCTCACTCAACTGGGCACTTTTGAAGACCATTTCCTGAGCCTGCAGAGGATGTTCAACAACTGTGAAGTGGTCCTTGGGAACCTGGAAATTACCTACGTGCAAAGGAATTATGACCTTTCCTTCTTAAAGGTTAGTTCATTGAATTTGGTTGTCCTACTCAAACACTATAGAAAGAAACACGAACAAAGAGAAGCCTCAGCCGAATTTGGCTTGAGGCATGGATATTTCATCTTATGGAAGCCACAAGTCCAAGGGACTATGGGTGAATGTTATGAGAAGTCCACTCTGCCAGCTAAGGTCAAGTTATTTGTGGAAAAGGAAATGGGATAGAAACACTTCTGATGCTCCAGTCCTCATAGGCACTAACATTGATGGTCGGCCATTGTCTCAGCCAGATAGTGTTGACATACCAGCTTTTCAAATAGTACTAACAATAACTTTAAAGAGCACTGTCTTGTGGTGTGTACCTATATACTTGGCATAAACACTGACACCATAGCTGATTTCAAGCTACCAGGAACTTATAACTGGTACACAAAATTCCTAAATATTCCTAGTGAGCCATTAGGAGCCAACTCTGAAGGCTTCAAAATCTGCTTTGCTGATACTTGGACTTCGGTTGGGTTTACTTTGCCTTTACTTCTTTTTCGTTTTTTTTCTCCCCCTACTCCCTCACTTCTTCCTTCCACAAGAAATCATGAGATTTATTATCTCACTATGTTCACTTCCATTTTCATTTTAGTTAAAGTGGGAATTGCAACATGTCAAACGATGTGCTGTTCTTTAATGCAAACTTCAAATGCAAATGTGAAAGAATCCTTGCAAACCCTACCACACCCTTTACCCAAGGGCAATTGTCTGTGTGTCTTAGATTTATCTGCCACAGGAATGTGTCATTGTGAAGTTCAATGGTGCTCCTGGACCCACTGTAATAGGCTTTGTTTTTCCTCTCAGACCATCCAGGAGGTGGCTGGCTATGTGCTCATTGCCCTCAACACTGTGGAGAAGATCCCTCTGGAGAACCTGCAGATCATCAGGGGAAACACTCTCTATGAAAACACCTATGCCTTAGCTGTCCTGTCCAACTATGGGACAAACAAAACTGGCCTTAGAGAACTGCCCATGCGGAACTTACAGGGTAAGAAAGAGGTGGGACACCAAGGCAGAGAGGGATTCTGACGGCATGTGGCAAATCTGTCACTTCAGTTAATCCTAACTCAGAGAAGACATGTTTATCAAACACATGTACTGAATGCTGTTTGCAGGATTCAGTGGGTAGCAGTTATGTAGACAGTAGGTAATGAGATGGAAAGAGATTTCAGCCAAGTAGAAATCAGTTCTTCCATGGATGAGGAATAATACCCAGAGATAGTAATAAATGACCAAGTTCTCTGGGTACTCAACCTTGGTGAGTGAGAGTTTGTATTAGAAGTAAACTTGGACCAGGGGCAGAAAGGACATGCAGTCACTCCCTCATCTTGCAGGGACACATTCCTAGGCAAAATTGGATGTCTGAAACATCAAGTATCCCAAGGCATACATGCCATGTTTTCTCCTCTATCTATATGCCTCTCATCATTCAGTTCATTGATTAGGTATAGCAAAACATTAACAACAACAGTGAAAAATAACAGAACAGTAAGAGTGCTGCAACACAAGCTTGTGAATTTGGTCACTTGATATTTCTCCCAAAGTGGGCCCCAAGCGGTTGAACCCAGAGATAATAAAACCACTCATGGGAGAGGGGTCTAATATCCTGTCACGTTTGAGAAGCAGGTTTTAAGGTTAATACTGTTATGTGGAAACTCAGGCTTAAGTTGGGGAGAGGGGAGAAGGTTTTAAGGTTGAGAAAACTGGAAAAGATGGTTGAAAGGATGAGAAGCAATTCTTCCTCCAGTTCACGGACTGTTTCTCAAGTCAGTAACTTCACTTAATGCCACAGCCTTCCTTAAGAGTAGGTGCCATACACTGTCATTTTGCAGATAAAGGCATGGCGATAAGATAACTCTCCCAAAGCCTCTTACCCCCTGCCTGGTTCTGTCATCTCTGCATGCCCTGCAGTTCTGATGGGGAAGCAGTGTGAAGTGGGAAGGGGACAGGGTGAAAAGAAAGAGTACAGAGAGTAGGAACCTATCAGTGTGTGGAGCTAGGAGGTGGCCACGCAGCCAGCCAGACACTTTCTTCCCCAGCTCCCTGGTTCACAAATTCCCACCCACCACTTTAACTGCTCTGCGCACCCACGCATGTTTCTGAATTTGTGGTAGCGCTCATCTCCCCTGTACACACACTGCATGAAATGGCCTGTTCGGAACTTGCGGCGTGCCTTGCTCTGCCTATCTTGCCTCACACATGTGAGGAAGCCAGTGGGTGTGAGTCTAGCTCCTGGAGCCAGGCTGTCTGTGTTCCAGCCCCAGCTCCATCACTCATCAGCTAAACGACACTGCAGATATTCCTTCACCTAGGTCTTTCTCTGTATCTCAGTGCCCTCGCGTCAAAAATGTAGTACACACACTTGGTAACGTGCTCCCTCTATGTTGATAAAATCAGCCCTGTTACTGCAGGCAAAGCATGCATCAGCTACTTGAGTTCCTAGTTTGTTGTTGTTGTTGTTGTTTTGTATATGTGCCCGTGTGTGCATGCTCTGCTCCGGACTACCCCTATTTTTATAATTAATGCAAATTTATAGTTGCACAGGTCCCGGTTATTTAATATAGGACTACTGCGACAATTGAGAATTTCTTGGATTTTGAAATGAAAACAATAGATTTGACATTCTACTCATTGCTTTGCTCTGTTCAGTTAGAAGGGGGAGCCTATTGAATCCAGCCTCACCCTCAAGTAGTTATTATAGTTACCTATTGTTGGCTCTCCCTGTCTCTTCATATGGTTGCCACTGCGACCTTAATGTTCCTGTCTTATGTCGCTAGGTTTGACCTCACACTCCTAGCTCCTCTTGTCTCTTTCTGTCATACTGCTGTCACCTCTAGTTTCCAGGCACCGCTCCACATCTCAGTCCTTTCTGGCCTGCCTTTTGAAGTTCTTTTACCCCCTGTCATCTGTTGAGAAAACTGTCTCCTGCCCCAGATCTGCAGTTCCACTTTGCATCTTTGTCTGCTGGAAGCCTCCAGCACTTCCAGCTTCCCTTTCCTCTAAACTCTGCTCCTGCACATGTGCAGATCCCCTCTCCTTGTCACCCAGCAGCCCATGCAAGCTTTCCCAGGGAACCCCTCCTTTTCCACGTCGGCAATCCGTGCAGACAGGTGCTCCCATTCCCCGCCTGCGCGGTGCTGAGACCACTTTTGTATCTATAGTTGGGCTTTTCCACATTTATATATTGTTTAATTTTCACTTTTAATTATATACATAGGTGCGGAAGTGGGGTGTGCACACAGGTATAGGTGTCCATGGAGGCCAAAAACATTGGGTGCACTGGCACTGGAGTTACAGGCAATTGTGAATCACCCACTATGGGTGCTAGGAACCAAACTCAGGTTCCCTAGAAGGGCAGCGTAAGCCATCTCTCCAGACTTTTTCCCGTGTTTAAATGATAGTCTTTGGATCTTGCTGAGGATCATTGGAGGTAATACCTATACATCAACTAGCTCAATTCTCAAGTCCTGTCTCCTCTAGACCTGGCTGTGACATATCTGTCTCTCGCATTTCAGTTCTCAGGGAGAAGCCCACAAGTCAAATTCATCTTTGCAGACCGAACCATCCATTTTTTGTATACATAAATGTTGTATACAGATTTATTCCATCCATGTTTGTGTCTAATGTTACTAATGTAGCCCTCTCCCTTTGTACAAGTTTGACTTTCTCAACCCTGACTTTGCAAAGTCCTCTCATTGCATCACTAGTGCTTATTTGCTTCTTCTTCACACGTAAAATTCTGGTCTTCACAGTCCAAATGCTTATGACTTCCACCTTGTCCTTCTGCACTGACTGCCCCTCCACACCATCCAGTCATTCCAGTCTTCATGATACAGCACTAGACCTACAAGTCACTGTACGTCTGTCCTTCCTGCTATACATACTGAATAGGCCTTCTCTTCCTCCCTACTGCATTTCTAAAATCCACAGCCCAATCCTTAAAAACTCCTACATCTTTCCTATCATTGTGAAGTATATCTTCATATATCCCTAGCAGATCTTCATTAGGGCTGACCTTGGGGACTTCAGATTTGCACACTGGAAACATTAAGTAGAACATTAGCAATATAAAGAAATGAGTGCATGCATTTTGTGAGTTAATAGGAGTCAAAGAGTTTGGTTACTGTCGTTCCATTCATGCAGAAATCCTGACTGGTGCTGTGCGATTCAGCAACAACCCCATCCTCTGCTACGTGGAGACTATCCAGTGGAAAGATATCGTCCACAATGACTTTCTGAGTAACATGTCAATGGACTTACAGAACCATCCAAGAAGCTGTAAGTGTGTCATTCACCTTCCATTAGCTTCGGATCCTCTGAGGGGTTGAAGTGTACAGTGCTGGGGTGGGAGAGAGAATGTTAACTTTAGATCAGATTAATCAGCATACAACAAAAATAAGAAGTAAACGAATGGTCTTACCATTAGAGGAGTTTTATTCAAGACAGTAAGATAAGAAAATTTTCATCATACAAGGCAACACCCATCACTCTCAGGGTGGCAGAGCTTTTGTGAGGCCACTGAACAGAGAGACCCTTTCTCCAGGATACAGGTTGCAGGGGCAGTCATGGTACAGGGTGTCTCCCCTTCTGCCTCATGGGCGTTGACCAGTCACATGTGTTTCTGCCTTGTTCCTGATTCTCACACTGGCACTCAGGTCATCCTGATCCTGTGGGCTCTGCTCATCAGTGTATACACAGAACAACAGAAAGGAGATTTGTCCATGCTTTCTTGAATGCTCTCAACTCATCCATGCCCCACTCCTCCGGCAGCCCCCTACAACTGAGGGCCTTGCAGAGGAGCAGAACTAAGCTTGGGGGGCTAAACCTGTGACCTTCACTAACACTGTGTAGGAAACTCTGGAACGGCATGTTTTCACTTACCAAACTCAGCCAAGCCAGTTCTTCTTCTTAATAGTGCTAATCTTTCCATGGTGTAAGATAAGGCATGGCCCCATTTCCCACTCTCCTTTTCCTGCAACTGCACTACATATGGGTTGGGTTTAGACGTCCAGTGGAGCCTACATGAATCCTTAAAAAAATCAACTAAACTCTTTTTTTTTTTTGCTTAGTTGCTTTATTGGTGCATTGATTAAAATAGTTGGGGTGAAAAACTTAGGAAAACTGTCATCTTTGTCATTGTGCGTCCGTCCGTGTTGTTATGAAGCCCCAACCACTGTCCATGCTCACCTCGTGGCACCGTCAGTGTGAAAGAAAGGAGAGAAGGGGTCAGAATCCTCTTGTCCCTTCAAAGACATTGCCTTCAATGACTGCGCTTCCAATGCTTCCACCTCTTTTTTTTTTTTGATAAAGCGTTTTGAATTTATTATTTGACAATTGCATACGCGTACACAGTGAAATGTGATCGTATTTGACCCCTTTACTATTCTTCCACCTCCTCTGCTCCCATGCCTTCCTCCCACCTTCATATCTTTTTAATAACCCACTGAGGACAATTAATGCTACACACACGTGCAGAGGTGGGATAGCCTCTGGAGCATGCCTAACCAACCAAGGGCCACACCCCTGAAAATATGGCTCTGCCTCCCCCAGCAGCCAGGGATAGGTTCTCATGGTCCCGTCCCCCACCCATGCTGGAATGTTGATTGGCTTGGTCTTCTGCAGCTCTTGGGCAGGCGGCCACAGCTTCTGTGAAGTTGAGAGTACAGCAGCCCTGTTTTGTCCAGAAGATGCTGGTCACAGCAGTCCTCCCTGAACTCTGCCTCTTATGATCTTCCTACCCTCTTTTCTGTGATGTTCCTAGAGCCTTAGGTGTGACACAGATGTCTGATTTATGGTTGAGCACTCCACAGACACTTAGTCTCTGCACTTTGACCAGTTATGAGTCTTTGTAGTAATCATCATTTACTACACAAAGAAAAAGTCTTTCTGATGAGGACTGAGCGCTAATCTATGGTATCGAGATAAGTATTTTGAAAGAAGTTGGATGCTATGTCCATTTAACAAAATAATAGTCGTAAGTTCTTCCTAGGGCTTAGGAGCTCCCCAGCCATGAGTTCTTGGCCAGATTTACAGTAGCAGGCACGTGTTTCCTCCTGTGGGGTGGATCTTAAGTCCGACTAAAGAATGGTTGGCTTCCCCCATCACGCTCATGTCTGTCCCTGTTGCACCCATGGACACATCTTGCCAGGGCAGTCATTCGTTCCATGTCTTAGAGTTTCCATCATCTCTCTGTGACACAAATCCTCTAACATATGAGCCTCTAGGGGTCATTATATATTCAAACTGCAGCACTAGTCATGAGAATAAGCCTAACTGAATCAAAATTGCACAAATGAGTGGCATTTCAAGTAAGAAATCATTCAGTAAATTGTTGGGTAATGACAGTGATTGAGGGACAAACAGCTAAAGAATCAGAGCCATAGCAGAGTTGTGAAAAATCAAGTAAGGACGTAAGAGTTGCACATAATAGAAGACCGGAAATCTGTCTCCTGTGTCTCCTACCTTCCGCTCTCCTCCACTGACCAGTGCTCTGCAGACATGCACTCCTTTGGAGAAGCTTGTGTTTCCTCTTTCACAACAACCAAAACAGTATTATGAGGTGATCTTTAACTGTTATATAAATGAGGCATCTGAGACTCAAAAGGGCGGCCCACTGTGACCAGTGTATATTATTGTTGATAAAGTTTAGAATTTGAGGTTGTGAGAGTGGGTTTACATGAAAGAAAATAAATAAATTCATCAGCTACTCCATACCTCAATGTGAATTCCAAATATGTACTAAGCATATGTAACAAAATATTAATATATATTTAAGCCCTAGAAGGGAACATGAGGATGAATATTATAATAGCAAGTTGAAAAGCCAAATTCAGACACCATCAAATAAGCTTCCGTGTGAAATAAAATCATATTATATGATAGCTGATTGCCCCAAAGAGGGCTTTAGAACTAAGTAGAGTGATCTTTAAAAGCCTAAGGGAAATGTTAACTACCCAGAACCACAAAAGTCAAAGGCAAGAAAAATAAATCTGCTCCATAGAACTTTTCAACACACTTGTTGGCTAACACTTTGATCCTCTCATTTCTCAGTATGATTAATTGCAGAATAGAATGAAAGAGATTGAAAACCTTTGTAGCTGCAATTTGATATTGACCAAGTATAAAAACATAAAAATTTATGAATTACAAAGATTTCTAGACAGGATCATGCCAACTATGAACTGAAATTTTAGGTAACTGACCAAGTGACTCACAGAGTAAGAATGTCCACTTCCTGTGGCATTCGCCACACGACTCCGTGGCTTGGAGGAGAAGGGTGATTATTTACCAGCCGTAGTTTAACACCCCTAAACCCACCGATGATTGCACATCAGTCGGTGGGAATGGATACAGCAAGGTGAGTGAGTATACACAGAGCCAATCTGGTTGGAGAAGCAGGAAGCAGGTGGCACCTCTCAGACCCTGGATTCATTCAGATTTGTCATTTGTGTGGCTGTGACAAGTCACGAAGTACTCTCTCTCAGTTTCCACAGCCGAAGTGCAAACAAAAGCAGCCCATGGCTCAAAGTTCTGCCTGTCTTTTAGTTCATCCTACAAAGCATCCGAGCCAACCACAAATACAAAGTTTCCAAACTGTTCCTTGTTTCTAGAACATTCTCTAGGACCTCGACAGAGGCATCATTGGTTCCACGTCATTTGTTCATTTTTATCGAAATACACATTTAACTACTAGATTTTTATTTCAGGCCAAAAATGTGATCCGAGCTGTCCCAACGGAAGTTGCTGGGGAGGAGGAGAAGAGAACTGCCAGAAATGTAAGTGGACACAGCCTTGGGGCCTGAGAAACACACCCCTGTGAGCAGAGTCCACACAGTGTGTGGCCCTCCTCTCCTGCCCTTTGGTAACTGGACAAGTACAGGAGCTCGGCAAAGGACCCAGTGTTAACTCTTTCATGATGGTTGGTCTTGCCAACCTCACTGCACGCAGCTATCTACGGCTGACTATTCGGGACACTTCAGCCTGTCATAAAATGCCGAAAAGCCAGCTACCCAAGTGCCCAGGTCACGCAGATGCCCTGCTCCCTGCTCCCACACCCCCTTTCCTAGTACCAACCGATATAAAAGTTTGACAGTGTTTCTCCAGGGAGCTTATGTGTGAATCTTACTTTTTAAAAAAGTCAAATTGACTCCAGTGTGGTTGCTGGTTCACACAAAGAACCCAGGAGTGTGCCAGCTTCAAAACTGACCATAGTTCATTGTTTTTGTGACACAACTATTACGTTCCTTTAAACACTACATCTGGCCAGGTGCTCTTCTGTCTTGTGTGCTTTCTGTATTGTCAAGAATTCCCAGCTAATATCTACTTATTCAAAAGACCTAATCAGACTTGCTTTGATAAGTTTTCCTAAGTGATTTGAAATAAATGATAAGAAAAATATACCAAGAGGGAGGCTGGGATCATACTCAGTTTGGCTGAATGGGGACGCCTAGAAGCCTGTTCCACAGTCAGGAAATCCACCCGGACTCCCCATTTGTTTCTTTCTACTGCATGCAAGTATTCCTCGATGCCCCTCGAGCATGAGCTGCCGCCGCTTAGATGCAGCTCACTGGTGATCTTTCTTTTCCAGTGACCAAAATCATCTGTGCCCAGCAATGTTCCCGGCGTTGCCGTGGCAGGTCCCCCAGTGACTGCTGCCACAACCAGTGTGCCGCTGGGTGTACAGGGCCCCGAGAGAGCGACTGTCTGGTAAGACTCTGTCGGGTAAGGCATTGGGGAGGTAGGCTGCGGAGCTCTGCATTTGTTCCCTGCGGACCATGACAGGAGCCTTCCTGTGGGGCACACTGTAAATAAGTGCTATCCGGGCCAACAGCAGCAGCATTGTGACAGATGCAGAGAGCGGCTTCTGTAAGACCCCCGGAGATGTGGCCAGTTACACAGACCTTTGGGCAGTAGGGCATTGGAATCATCTTAGCCTCACCTTTGTGCTTTGCCCACCATATTTCCTCTCAGGCTGCCTCTCTATCCCACACCATCCCCTGGCGTTGTTTCCTCTGTCACGACCGAAGCTCTGGTCAAAGTTCTAGTGTGAAGTTTGGCAGGCACCAGGGCAGGTGAATGTGATTCCTGGGGTTATTATACAGCCAAGCAAGGCCCTGTCAGGCTCCAGAAGAGGAAGTTCATCCTAAGCTAGAGTCTAGAATATTCTGTGGTTTCTGGAAACAGAAGATTCTTAAATCCCAGAAACCAGAGCTGGCCACAGGGATTTTTTTTTTTTTTTTTCGCTTGGGCAGTCTGGACTGGATCTAATGAGCAGCCTAGGGGAAAGGCTGTACATGGAGTTCTTAGTAAGAGCCAGCATCTTTGGTCTGGCACTTTCTGCATGGAACGTTCCTGCTACGATTTCTGCACTTCAACAATAAATTCTAAAATGTTTTCTAAAGCGCTCTTTATAAGACTAACCCAGTGTAGCCAGGGTTTAAAAATAGTGCTACACCATTCTTACCATGTCATGTTTAGATTTCTTCATTGCCTGTAATCAATAGAGATGTATTTGTTTTTTCAAACCACCAACCCTATATTATAGCAACTGGGACAGTCAGTATACTTACAAATAGCACTTATTACTTGCAAGAGGAAGGTGTTTTTGCCTCCTCTGGAAAGGCTTACTGGCTTTTTTTCCTCTCTAATTGAACACATGAGCCCTGAGGCCGCCACTGGCCTGCCTGACTTGCAGGCTGTCTGGCCTGTGGTTCTTTCGTTTGGACGCCACATCCTTGACCAGCCATGTTGTCCCTCCTGTGACAGGTCTGCCACAGGTTCCGAGACGAAGCCACATGCAAAGACACCTGCCCACCGCTGATGCTCTACAACCCCACCACATATCAGATGGATGTCAACCCTGAGGGGAAGTACAGCTTTGGTGCCACCTGTGTGAAGAAATGCCCCCGTGAGTTGCTCATCTTTGACTCGCCCACTGTCCATGTCCCCGTTGGTCTTACGCCGGAGTCTTGGGTAGTTTGGGGACTTGCCTTGTTGCTGGGTGAGTTAGTGCATGCCCAGCTAGATACAAAGGTGAGAAGTCAGCTCAGGGCTGAGGGACAGAGGCAGAGGCAGCCTGCAGCAGGTGGGCTCCTCTCCTCCAAGAGTGGCTTCACCAGTGCTGCTCCTAGTGTGGCTGGTGGCCAGAATTCACAAGAAAAGGCACCTATTGCTTCATGCCAAGTCTGAGGGCCAGCTATAGTAACTTGGGGTGTCCTGGAACTGACTAACACAGAATCACGACCCTCTGGGCCAATCATTGTTTGACTCTGTATTATTCTTGTTTTTAGCAGACCTAAATTAGAGCAGCAGATCCACCTTCTTGAGTAGAAAAATCTCTGGTTAAGGTTAGAATCTTGGAGTACAGTTTTAGTTTTGTTTTGATTTACTCATTTGGGTTCAGACTTTGTTTGTGTATGATTGTTCCCTACTGGGACCTGTAGGGAAATGGCAACATGGATCATTCCCAAACAGAGGAAGCGAGGCAATGGATAAAGAGCTGTAAAACTGATCATGACTTCTAGAAAGAAAATTGAGACAAAAAAATGTAAAAGAGAAACTATGAGGGTGAGATTTTTGCCTACCTAGATTTAGGTGATGAAAGTCTATTTAGGAAAAGAAGAGGAAGAAGGAGGAGGAGAAGAAGGAGGAGGAGGAAGGAGGAGGAAGAGGAAGGAGAAGAAGAAGAGGAAGAAAGAGGAGGAAGAGGAAGGAGAAGAGGAAGAAGGAGGAGGAAGAGGAAGAAGAAAGAAGAGGAGGAAGAGGAAGAAGGAGGAGGAGAAGGAGGAGGAGGAGGAGGAGGAGGAGGAGGAGGAGGAGAAGAAGAAGAAGGAGAAGAAGAAGAAGAAGAAGAAGAAGAAGAAGAAGAAGAAGAAGAAGAAGAAGAAGAAGACAAACAGAATACTAAGCCACTGCAAAGTCAATGAAAGCTAAGATGAAGGAAAACTCAGCACAGCCATGCCATAGATACTCTCTTTGTGTGAAGATTTAGTAAACTGAGGTTTAAATCCACAGGAAACACTCAAATCCTAAGATAAAAAGAGCACATGACTCGCAGATATACTACCAATGCCCAAATCTTTGAGCGTCTATTTGGGAAACTCAAAACAGGAGCACAGAGTTTCTAATACGTACTATAATCCTAAGTATTAAATGAGATGGACTTCATAGAGATGAGGGGAGGTGGAAAGACAGATTGGGGTACCTGTCTGGGAAGCAGGACAAACTGGTCCCTCACTGTTCCACCAAAGGAGCACATGGCAGGTGGGAAAGAGCACACTGTTGCCACCTCAATGGGACACGGTCTGTCTGATAAGCATTAATGGGTGTCTCCTGTGCACTCAAGTTTACCTGTAAGCTCTAAACACAGATCTGACCAAGGACACTGATGTTCAAAGAGGGGCTTTCAGTCAGTGAGCACGCATGGTGATGTTCCCTCACTGCTGTCCCGTGCCTGTGATCAAATAATACCTGTGTTCCTCCACATTACTGTCAGGAAAATCATTCAGCTCAGGCTTGATTCCTTTTCTAGTTGAAACCCGTCAGTCTCTCCCCTCAAAGTAAAGTCAACCAAACCATTAGGGACCTTTCTCGGTGGCCCATGTGGAGCAGGACATGAGGATGTTTGCGGAAGGTTAGGCGCACCTGCCGTGGCCTTCAACACCCTCTTTTCATTGCCTCTTCCTCAGGAAACTATGTGGTGACAGATCATGGCTCGTGTGTCCGGGCCTGTGGTCCTGACTACTACGAAGTGGAAGAAGATGGCGCCCGCAAGTGTAAAAAGTGTGACGGGCCCTGTCGCAAAGGTAAGGAGCCGACCAGTGTAGACAAGCCTTCTTATTGACCTTTGTGCTGGCCTCTTATGTCCACCTCCAAACAAACACATCTTACTTTTTTAATTAAAAAAAAAAGAAAAAGAAAATGCGCATTTTTGTCTGTAAAGTAAAAGATAACCTTGCAAGGCCAAGTTACAAAGGTGGAAGAGGTGGGGGACGTTCTCGTGAACCGGGTACAGAGGCGCCACCTGCAGGCCAGGTAGGTGAACTGTCTTGGACAGAAAGGGGAGGAGCCAATGATTTAATGACTAACTCGATTCAGTCCAGGTAGAAAACAACGGGGAGAATTCAATGCCAACAGAGGTTTGTGACAAGGACAGTCCCAAGCCCCACTCCAGTGACCAGAACACCAAAGCCTGCCGGGGGTCCAGGCACCTGGAGGGCCCGCTCAGAGCGGAATGAGTTAGCAATGTGCGGCTCAGGGGCTCACGCTTCTGCCTGTGTAGGTACAGCCTTCTTAATTCAGCAAAGGTAAATGGAACAACTCTCTCTCTTAACAGTTTGTAACGGCATAGGCATTGGGGAATTTAAAGACACGCTCTCCATAAATGCTACAAACATCAAACACTTCAAATACTGCACTTCCATCAGTGGGGACCTTCACATCCTGCCAGTGGCCTTTAAGGGGTAAGTAACAGCTGAGAGACCTAGACAGAGAGCAGCAAAATCTACTGTTATTTTTCAAAGCATGGAGAATGATCAATAATCATGTTGCTGTCTGTTTCAGGGATTCCTACACACGTACTCCTCCTCTAGACCCACGAGAACTAGATATTCTAAGAACAGTAAAGGAAATAACAGGTTCGTGCTGGAGTATCCGGGAGCATATACAGCAAATTAAATTTTACAGAAACCATCAGACATCCCCCGCTTCTTCCCTGGCACAAAAATGTGGTGTCTAAAGTTCTACCATGATGATTAATTCTTTGAGACTTTGTAAAATTCCAGTTTCCCTTGGTGCAAGCTGAAAGCACTTTAAGCCAAGGCTGCAGCCATGCCACTCTAGACTTCATGTGAACACATGGAATAGTGCTTCCCAGCTCAGACAGGCCACCATCCTTACAAACCCCAAACTCCAGAGAGAAGAAAGAGGGGCAGTACAGAGTCTCGGTTTCATAAACCAGATTTCAAACGATTGCCCACTGGGGAGTCTGGGAACCACGACTGACTGCCGCCTGCACTCCATTTTCTTCATCGTTAAAAAGGGATCATTCGATCTAAAAAACAAGACTGATATGGAGATCAGAGTTAAATGAAGAAAGTATTTAAAATGAGACCTAAGTAAGCCGCAACTTGAAAACAGTCAGAGAAGGAATCAAGTGTATGAACTGATATCCTCCAAGGGTATCAGAGCCAGAGCACATGGTCAGCCTTCTGGTTGGGCATTGGCCTGGGCGTTGAGAGAGGTGCAGTCAGGATTCAAAGTTCCACGGAGAGGGTAGGATTTCAATTTTTTTAAAAATATCATCTGGACTTGTGTCTGTACGTACACTGTCATCCTTACTGGAGAGGATAGGAGAATCTACTGGCTCTGTCCTCCATATACCGTGAATACTAGAACATGCTTCCTACAAAGCAAAGAAATTTCTAGCACCATGTGTCTAAGTCTTTCTTCCTCCCTCTAGGGTTTTTGCTGATTCAGGCTTGGCCTGAAAACTGGACGGACCTCCATGCTTTTGAGAACCTAGAAATAATACGTGGCAGAACAAAGCAACAGTAAGTCAGCCATAACCAAAGTCTGGTAGATTCTTTTTATTTTGAAGTTGGCCGTAAAGGAGGGGTACAGAAACAGGACAAAGATGATCACTCACTCAGCTTCCCCGAATGTAAACGACTCACATGAGTCAATATGAGGACTGGGATAAAGATGTTGACACTGTACAGCGCTGATCAGTCGACCACATGCTTTATTCTGAGTTCACCAGATTTTCCATGAATGCATTTGTTCTTTCTCTGTCCTCTCCAGAATCCCACATTGCAGTGACTTCTAATGTCTTCTCAGCGTGTTTCAACCTTCCCTAGCTCCTATGTCTTTGCCCAGTTTCATTGTCTTGACACTCTGGGAAAGTATGACCAGGTGTTTTATAGAATGTCTCCTTATTTGCTTTTGGCTAATATTTGATAATGATGCAGTTGATAATGAATGATATAACATTATCACACAAGGGGACCTAAGTAGTGTTTCAACGTGAAATGGTTTGGGGGTCTATAATGACCACTCTTGCAGCTACGATAAGGAAATGTGTGCACAGAGTGAGAAAAAAAATGATACACACAGAGAGAGACACAGACAGACAGAGAGACAGACAGACAGGGACAGGGAGACAGAGAGAAAGGGAGGGAAGGAGAGAGGGATAAAGGAGATCGCTAACAGAATAAGAGAAATCCTAAAATCTGTGGTGATGGAAATTTGGAAATCTGTAGCTCAAACTGCCCTGGAAACTTTCTGATTATGACAACTTTTTCTGAGCTTCACGACCACTGACCTCACGAAGCATCACGGACCATTTAACCAGTCAAAGCACCATATACACAGAGTAACACCCCTTTCCATAAGCTCCGTTCGTCAGACACTTCTGATGCTAAGCACACAGCTACTCTTGCTTCCTGCCTTTGCTCTGAAACTCTCAGGAATGTTCTTTGGCGGGGACCAGCTCAGGGATGAGCTTTAGCACGGGCGTTCTGAGTGGCGGCCTTGTAGCCTTCTGCTTAGTTTTAAGGGTTTAAGCTCTGGGATGACCATTAGTTCCTGGTATGACTCACAGAAAGCTAGGACTTGACCTGCAGGAAAGACCCCAGCCAGACCCTGACTCCTTGGCTTCTCTGGGCTTATGCTGGGGGAGAATTCCCAGTAAATGATGGTTGTGGGTCTCCTACCCAGGACCCCCACCTCTCTGGAAACAGGCCGAGGGGTACATGAATCAGGGAAACGGGGAGAAGTGTAAGCAGGAAGAGGGGGCTGTCAAATAATGCTTTAAACCTTTGTCATTTAACCTCTTAAATTTCATTTTTCTTCTTTTTGTCCTGTCTCAATCAACCCATTCCTGACGCTGGTGTCAAAGCAGCTTCCTACAAATACACTCTGCTTCTATGTGCTTTTCCATCAGTTGCCTGTGACAACCCCAACTCCCCCAGCAGGGGCCTTAACCTGTGCTCTGACTTTCCTACCATCCTCAGGCCCATCTTCCAGCTCTCGACACTTGCAGACATCCTGTATAATCCTGTTCCTCCAAGTGGGGCTTGGGATTCCATTTCCTTTCGTCTGGTTAACTTTAATCCAGTCATCCACTGGGAACAGACCTTGTAGAACCTTACTTGGCTCTGCTCTCCAGGTCTCAGATATGAGACATCACGGCTTGGAGAAAGTCATCCTTCTGTACCATTCCTCCATAGAGCTACTTGAGTTCCCATTCTTGACTAACAGTGTTCCCTAAAGCTGCATTCATTTCTCTGGACTTAAAAAACTCTGCCTGAATCAACTAACTTGGTCCCATAGAGACTCACAGAGACCAAACTGACAACCAAGGATCCTGCATGGGACTGACTTAGGCACTCTGCATATATGTTACAGCTGTGTAGCCTGGTCTTCTTGTGGGACTCCTAACATTGGGAACAGGGGCTGTTTCTGACTCTATTGACTGCTTTGGGGACCCTTTCCTCCTACTAGATTGCCTCATCCAGCCTTAATATGAGGGGAGGTGCCTAGTCTCACTGTAGCGTGATAGACCATGGCTGGCTGATATCCATGGGAGGCCCGCACTTTTCTGAAGAGAAAGAGAGGAGGAGTGGATGGGGGCAGTGCTGGGAGGAGGGGAAACTGTGGTAGGAATGCAAAAACAAACAAGTAAAAATCTGCCTGTATGATTATATCACCTGCAGACAGGTTCCCCAAGTAAAAGAGACACACACATATTTAACCTATATAGTATTTGTCAAGTGGTACCACAGATATTCACTCAATAAACATGACCAGATGACACTGGATAGATGGATAGATGGGTAGATGGATAGATGGACAGACAGACAAATTTGCTTAAAGTACATTTTGGTGTTCTTGGTTTCTAGGAAACTACAAATACAGTAAATGAAATGACATGAGGCCACTGACTCAGGCCTCCAGTATATCCAAGGTTAAAGATAATAAATGGATGAGAAACCATCTTTTCCTTGAAGAAACTCAAAAAACCACTTGCATTTTTCGAAACTTGTGATTCATGTTTTTCACAGAATGATTAGTAATCATTGGAACACACTTTTCAGGAAACCTAAGTGGCCCATAAAAACAAAATTTGAGGGTAGCATGGTGTTTTCACTATCATGTACAATGCAATTTTTCTTCTCCCCCGTTTAGTGGTCAATTTTCTCTTGCGGTTGTTGGTCTGAACATAACATCACTAGGATTGCGCTCCCTCAAGGAAATAAGTGATGGGGATGTGATTATTTCTGGAAACCAAAATTTGTGCTATGCAAATACAATAAACTGGAAAAAACTCTTTGGGACTTCCAACCAGAAAACCAAAATCATGAACAACAGAGCCGAGACTGACTGCAGTAAGTAGCTGCTCCCAACTCACCTGCGCAGATAGTTCCTGGAGGGGATTTATTGTTAGAAGGAATGCTAAAGAGGTCTGTGGCTCCTGCTCACTGCTCTTATCCAGGACCACAGTGTGCTGGAGCAAATAGTGGACACAGGGATATGAACCATGTGCAGTCCTGTGGGGAAAGGAGAGAATTTAAAGTTGCAAGTAAGCCAGGTGCTGAGAATGCCATCATTAACTGCAAAGAGATTAGCGCCCTTAAAGGGATGCATTGTCCTCTACACTGGGACACTAGGAGAAGGGTCCCTGAGGGCAGGCCCCACCCACCGAAGGGTTCATCTTGGAGATGTACATTCATTTGAAAGAAGAGAGCCAAAACTGAGAATTCTGCAGAAGAGATTGCCTGCTTCCGGAGGCTAGGCTACATCCATCTTCAGCTGGCCACTGAAATGGGCAGCGTCATCCACATGCTACTGGTTTTGTATACGTGAAAGATACAAGATTGAAGGGGGCATGGAAGCCTGTGCCAAGGTGACGGAAAGCCAGTCAAGCAGGCCAATATGAGGCAGGATTGAAGTCCCTAAAAGGAGGCCTGGAGAGGCCACCGTGCAAACCCATAAAGACACTCCAGGACTTTAGAGATGTCAGTATGGTGGGGTTTCTGCTATAAAGGAAAAAAAAAGCTGCAGGCTTGGAATAGGGCAGGCCAAATGGGGAACTTTTGCACACTGCAGGGGGCAGACTCAGGGCAGAGCTACCCAAGTTCTTGAGAGCACCTTGTTTCCAGAATCTGGAAAACCTGATGAAGTTACTCAGGCTCTCAAGAACTTAGGTGGTTCTCCTGGGTTTCAGTCTTGCTCTGGTTCCCTCTTTCTTTGCTGTGCCCCCATTCCACCTCTTTGAAATGGGAATGTTTCCTATGTGTCATTGTGGGTGGGAAGTTTGTAATTTACTTTCTGATTGCACCGGGGCCAACAGTGAAGAGATTGCCTTGAGTCTCAAGAAAAAATAGACTTGAGACTTTTGAGCAATACTGATACTGTTAGAGACTTACCAAGGGCAAGTGAGATGACTCAGCAGAAAAGAGCATTACTGCCAGGCCTGGCAACCTGAGTTCTGTTCCCAGGACTTATAGGGAGGAAGGAGAGAGCCAACTCCCACAAACTGATCACACACACACACACACACACACACACACACACACACACACACACACACATATACATACACACATACACACACACACACACACACACACACACACACACACACACACACACACACACACGACGGCATGCACATACACATCCTCAACACAAAATAAAAAGATAACGTAGTTTTTTAGAACAATTTAAGATGATGGAATGAACACGTTTTGCATTATAAGATGTTCAGAATCCTATGTGGTCTGGGAGCAGGGGTGGGAAGTGAGGGGGATGAAGTGGCTTTAGTATGTTCCCAGAAGGCTCGTGTGTTTTAACACTTGGCCTTATGCTTCTGCCACTGTGACGGACAAAGTAAAACCTTCCTCCCTCAGCTGCTTCTTGTTAGATGTGTGGTCATATCAATGAGTAACGTAATATATGCACTGAGGTTTGGCTACTAAATATCTGTAATTTAAAGAACACAAAGTTGGTGGTCTTTGTCATATTACATTTTAACTAAAGGTAGCTCTGTGCTCACTTTGGCCTTAGATCACTATAGCCAAGTACGCAAACACACATATGCATCAAAGGACATATGACATTTCACAGTGACATTCCCGACTCTGGTTTTAAAATAGTAACTTGAATTAGCTTTTGAAACTGGCCAATGCCCCTGGATTTGTGGCAGGACTCTAAACACCGGTAGAGGTGACGTTAAGTACCAAATGTCCTCTGGCCCAGTTGGGCTTTGAGAACTTGCCCTGTTGATTTTCATCCCGTTTGGCTTTGGCTTCCCCATTCACACATAGTGATGATTCCAGTACCGCAGTGCTCCTCGGTGACACGGCATCCTGCATGTGAAGCTCTTGGCATGGTACCCAGCACACAGCAAGCAGCTACAACCATCCCTGTCATTTCTGTCAGCTGTGACACCCATCATCCAAGCCTCCCCAGAGTCAGGTCCAAGCTGCCCTGCGCAACACAGAGAACAGAGGCCATGGTACCCTGCTCCTTTCAGAACCCCGATGTGTCTGTGAAGAGCACGCAGCCCCTTGGCAGGGTGTCACCTCTTTGGATCCCTCCTGTTACTATTCTATAACTGACCCTATGATTCACTGTCTTCTCAGAGGACACAGGCCACGTCTGTAATCCTTTATGCTCCTCGGAAGGCTGCTGGGGCCCTTCACCCAGGGACTGTGTCTCCTGCCAGAACGTCAGCAGGGGCAGAGAGTGCGTGGAGAAGTGCAACATCCTGGAGGGGTGAGACACTGTCCTTTAGCCTTTGTCTAGCTAAGAAAGAAATAATCCGCCATGCTGCTTTTACAGCTTTGCAATTATCCAAGTTAATTTTTTCTTTCTGGCTTGTTCTTGATATGACCTTTGTTTATGTTCTTTTTTTTTCAAAGTGTTCATCACATTAGCAAGTAAGTTTTTCATTATGCTTCAATTCACCTGGTAATCTATCATGTCCCTTTTCCTGAAAATACTTTAAATTTTCATTTTGCAAGAATTTCTCAAGAATTCTTGAGACAGTATAGAATAGACACAGTGGTTAATATATTCAAGAAAGTGTGGGCATTTGGCCTTTTCTTTCCAATCCACTATTCACATTATATTAAAATTTATCAACACAGAATATTTCCTAATTAATTTCAGTTTGATGTACCCCTCACACACACTGATCATTCAGTGGTGCAAATTATTTTTAATGCAACCAGGGACGAAGAAGTAATTCATATATTTGCTTAATTTAATAGTAATCAATTAATAGTACAATGTATGTGTGCAATGAGAATTTCAATATTGGTGTAAAGGCTTAAGTGAATACTGGTAATGATTAAAATAAATTACTTGGAAAATTAAATTGGACGATAGAAAGGGGCATTTTTTTTTAATTTAAGGGACTAGGGAAAGCTATGGTGGAGAAGAGACATACGAGTTACAGGCAGTGCTGGGAAACCTTCCATCCTATTTCGCTAACAGGGTGTGGACCACAGTTTGTATCCAGAAATATTCCAGAACTAGATGGAAAGACGTGTTTTGATTGTGTAAGAATTTCTTAATGGGCTTAGGACAACTGTTACAACTGCTGTTTGAATGTCACATATGAAGCTCCAGCGTAGTCCTTCCTGTTACAAACAGACATTCCTATTTTCCACTTTCAAATCTCTTCACCATACCCAGAGGCCCAGGGCTCTTAGTGTGAGATGCCTGACGCCCTGCATCGCCTCACCACTGTTCAAGCCGGGACCCTTGTGCAGGGACAAAGTGACCCAGAGACAAAGCTCGGAAAATTGCCACTGTGGGTCTTTTTCACTGCTGGTCAGTTGGCTGTGGTCCCTTTGTTCGGCCAACATAGGAACAGTGGAGCGACGAGGGGAAAGAGTCCGGTGCTGGTCATTGGCTTCTTTGGTACACTCCACAGTTTGTCAGCAGTGAGCAGTGGCCACAGGCAGGCGGGCACAGATACACATATACCTTCTACTGTTTCAGCCCTTGTCTATTACTTGATTGCTGGGACCCTCAGCTCTACAGGTCTTGGAGTTCTTAGGCCTTCAGTGTGGGACTCTAAGGAGTTACAGCATGTGTGTAGGCCGAAAACACTGGGATTCCCATAGTGCAGTTGGTGCAGCTTCAGGAGGAGCCAGAGTAATGGGTTCCTCAATCCTTGACGGTGATTACTGTTACCGTTCTTGGGCCCGGGATGTTGGAGACCCTTGGCTCTAAAATCTTGGCAGTACTCTGGAACGCTTTCCGCAAGCAGGACCTGCAGTTTCTTTTCTCCTGCTCTGTGCAGTCATCCATCCTTCGGCCTCAGCTCTCCATCCTCTCTGCTTCTGCCTCCCCCTGTTCAGCTGCCTCTTCTTCACCCACCAAGCAGCTGGCCATGTGTTACTTCTGCAGCCCAGCCTGATGACGGCTGTCTTTCACTGCTGTTCCGTGGCCTCTTCCATCACTCCATCTCTACTGTTTCTTTCTAGATGCTGCCAGTTCAGTTTGAACTACTAAAAGTAGGCAAAGGAAAGGCCACCTGCGAGGAGTCTGTTATTGGATTAATGTATCTGATGTTGCAATACCAGGAGAGGCAGGACACAGGAGGGCTCCAGAAGTGAACAAGCATGAACGTTCCTTTCCTATCCCTTAGTCTTACTTAGTAACCATTTTTTTCCACCTTGAACATCCACAGATTTGGTCTTAGAGGGAAGGGGTGACTCATAAAGATATTTTTCATATTTGGCTTTCTTACCTGACATTCAAAAACTATGCCTATAGGAAAATGTCAGGAAAGCACTCTGATTAGAAATGAAGCTGTCTGTGAGGTGGCCTAAGGTTCTGTTAGTGACCTCAGCATATTATATTTCAGGTCAGCGCCAGCATTCTGACCCTTTGCCCTTAAGACGCTTTTGAATTTCTGGGATAGGTCAGTTGTGTTACTTGAAATAGTCACAGCCACGGTACTCAAAGTTCACTGTGTTCTTCTCCCAGGGAGCCAAGGGAGTTTGTGGAGAAATCCGAGTGCATCCAGTGCCATCCAGAATGTCTGCCCCAGGACATGAACATCACCTGTACAGGCCGGGTAAGGAGCTCTACTCAGCTGTCTATCCTTCACAGCAGCAGCAGCGGGAACATCAATGATCCAAGCCACCCCCAGTAAGAAAGCTGTCCGTGCAAGCCCTTTCCAGGGAAGAGACGCTCAGGATCTGCTCCTTAAAGTGGCTATGCCGAGTAAAGGTGCCTCCCACCTGCCTGTCCAGTACCCCACTCACTTCACCATGGCCATTCCCCCACTGTACCACAGGACATCCTGTACTGGCCTTGGACACTGCCAGGCAGCTTTCACAGCTTCTACCATCCGCCATCACCTCCTCATTTTAGTTGAACACCACCAAAGTATTAACAAATTCAAGTTACACTAATTTTTAAAGAAATACCAGCAATTTTTTTTTTTAAATCAGTTGCTTTTCTACATACACAGTAGCAAACTCATAAGGGATGTAAGTGGGAATTCAGGTTGCTCTGACATGAATATGCTGTTAATACTGATACTGGGCATAGTCGGGGCTCTGTTTCAGTGTGAGTTCCAGCAGCAGAATCTAAATCTCATTGAAATGTGTTTCAGAAGTTGTCCATCAATCACGCAGAGTGTAACAGAACTGAGTTAGGAAAGCTAGACCGTCAGCACGACTGCTTTACAAAGTGAGCCCTTGGTCTGCAGGCTTACACGGCATTGGACTGAATTTTCATTGCTACAGTGAAATAATTGCCGCTTTGCTGGAGTGTTCCAGCTGCTCTGGCTTTGAGTGTGTTCAGCCTCTGAGCAGACAAAGCTGAACCCTCAGCGGAGCCAAGGGAAAACAGGCTTGCCTAACAGCTTTATTTCAGTCCTCTGGGGAAGTGTGAAGCACACAGCCTAGGCAGTCCCTCCGCCTTCGTTTCAGAGGATTTTACAAGGACATTCCACGTTTTATAGACAGACTCTAACACCGCACATTCACAGTCCATTCTGCAGCCAGCACCGCCATGTGGCACCTTCCTTTCTCTGGAGAAGTACAAAGGGGGATTTTCCTCCATGTGCCTCAGCAAGTCAAAGTCTGGCCTCCCTCAACACTTCATTTTAACTTCACATGTGATAGGCAAGAGAGATAAGGATATAAAATACATAAGGATATAAGGATGTAGACCAATCAATATGATTTTGACAAGGACTATGCCCACAATACCTTAAAATACTACTAAAATACAGTGAAGAATGTGGCTTATGTTTGGATATAATAATGCATTTGCTTTTTCTATGAATATCTTTATGTGCTTTATACAACTTTGCTGTACTAGAATGGCTGAGAATGGGAAACAACAACTATCCTTTCTTAACAGATTATAGCATGCAAATAAAATTGTTTTGCATAGCTAATCAGAGTTAGCAGAAAGTGTATCTGAGGGCCAGAGAGATGGTAGAGGGCCTTGCTGTCAAGCCTGATGGCTTTAGTTCCGTCCCTGAAACTCACCTGGTGGAAGGAGAGCGCTCACAGGCTGTCCACTCATCTCCACAGTTTCATCCACACATACATGTAATTACATAATTAATTAATTTATTTGAAACATACTAAAGGAAAGTAAATCTGTTTCAGGAACAGTCAGGAAAATGTATTAGTTATCGTTGGCACAGTGGGCAAAAGGAATCACGGAACGTGTCATATATTTTAAGAACTTCTGCACTGGGGAATGGAGAGATGCCTCAGTGATCAAGAGCACTGACTGCTCTTCTAGAGGACCCAGGTTTGATTCTCAGCACCAACGTGGCAGCTCACAGCCACCTGTAACTCCAGTTTCAGGGGATGTGGTGCCCTCTTTTGGCTTCTAGGAGCACCAGGCAAACCAGTGGTGCACAGATGTGCATGCACATATTCAATAATAACAATAATAATAATAACAATGTCTATATTATTGACTGCTGTCTTCCCACAGTATATATTATAAGTAGAAAGTTATTTCCACTTTTAAAAGGGCAATGAAAAGTCCATAACCTTTTCTGTGCCTTGGTTCAGGGGCCAGACAACTGCATTAAGTGTGCCCACTACATTGATGGCCCGCACTGTGTCAAGACCTGCCCAGCTGGGATCCTGGGGGAGAACAACACCCTGGTCTGGAAGTATGCAGATGCTGGTAACGTCTGCCACCTCTGCCATCCAAACTGTACCTATGGGTAAGTGTAGCACAGTCACCTACAGCAGCATATGAAAATTTGTACACTGGAAATGTCTACCAAATTTTAGGCAGTAGGTTATATAGGCTTGTATTTTAGCCAGGGCCCTAAGGTGTTTCAACTCTGCGGTTGTGGTGGCAGCAGTCATGGGCCAGTGGGCAGATCTCAGACTGGTAAGAATATCACGCTGCCTGGCAGGATGTCTGTCTCAGGTAGTCTTGGTTCCTTGGCACTGCATGTGCCAATAGGAAAGAGTGATGGGTACAACTGCCAAACTGTCACCTCTTCCCCCTCCATATAAACAGGGTTGGGATGGGGATGGTATGGGCTGGGAGTAGGGAAGGACCTGGGGAGTTAGCTCAATCAGTAACATCCTTTCATTCAAGCATGAGGACCTTAGTTTGATCCCCAGCACCCATGTAGAAAAAGCCAGGAGTTGCCGGGCGGTGGTGGCACACGCCTTTAATCCCAGCACTCGGGAGGCAGAGGCAGGTGGATCTCTGTGAGTTCGAGGCCAGCCTGGTCTCCAAAGCGAGTTCCAGGAAAGAAGCAAAGCTACATAGAGAAACCCTGTCTCGAAAAACCAAAAAAAAAAAAAAAAAAAAAGAAGAAAAAGAAAAAGCCAGGAGTAATGACAGTTACATCTGTAACCCCAGTACTGGAAAGACAGAGGCAGGAAGAGCCCCGGGGCTTTCTGGCAATCGATTCTAGACAAATGGTTGGTGAACTTCAGTTCACTGAGAGACTCTGACTCAGGAAAAAAAAAGGAGCAGTTGTGTTTGTGGAATGACATCTGATGTTGACTTCTAGGCTTCACACAATCAATTCACATGCACACACACACACACACACACACACACACACACACACACACACACACACACACGAGTAGTTCTTCCTGAAATGTTGCTCCAAAGCACCTTTGTAAAATCTGCTTGATTGTTTAGCTGTTACAATATGAATTCAAGCTGATTTGACTAGAATTAGCAGAAGTGCTCTGATTCTATACATTTGATTTACTGGAATACTATAAATTAACAATGGAATCAGATTACACTCAGTAACAAGATCAGAATCAGAGTTTTCATATATACATGATATATATAAATATATATAAATATTATATATAAATTTGTTATATATATATAAAAATGTTATACACTCAGCATCCTCATAATTTATGAACCAGTCATGTTAGAAGCTAGATTACACATAAGGAACCTGCGTGACTCCCAGAGCCACAGCTATGGCCACCTCAGCATTTGTAGGGACACTTGAGGCACATGCATGTTTAAATTGAACCTTATTTATATATTAAACAAAAAGAGGTATTTTCTTGACATTTTTACCCTGATAAACAAAATTCCACAAGCATTTGCTCATTTTAGTTGTATGTCCCAATGCATTTGTTACAACTGTAATAATAAATTTCTTGCAATGAAAGAGAGAAATTGAGCCTGGCGGTGATGTGCACGCCTTTAATTCCAGCACTTGGGAGGCAGAGCCAGGTGGATCTCTGTGAGTTCAAGGCCAGCCTGGTCTACAGAGTGAGTTCCAGGACAGGCGCAAAGCTGCACAGAGAAACCCTGTCTTGAAAAACCAAAAAGAGAGAGAGGGAGACAGAATATGACAGAAGTAGATGATACGACCTCTTGGACTTTCCACCAAGAGTCAGAGGACAAGAGAACACGTTGTCTGCTTTCCCACTGATTCCTTAGTCTTGTGGTGGCCCAGTCCTTCCCTTCGGCAGCATCTGCGCTGTCACTGTCCCCATAGGTCATCCTGTTACATGTGAACTGGTTTATCTTTCCCTCTGAGCTCACTGATCTCAGCTTCTTGTTGACAATCAATGGCAATTGTCCAGGGTAGCTTTCAAGGGCTGTATGAAACCAAGCAGCTTGTCCAAACTGTCAATCCCCTCAGCAGGCATGGACTCCTGGTGTTTAACGTTCTACAGTAAACAGACCACCAGACATCGTGTCTGAAGGAGAGTCTAACTAACACTAGAGAACGCTTCCTGTCTTGCTTTGACTATCTTTTGTGTATCTAGAAGGAAACAGCCGGGCCTCCTGGTGTATCCCGCTGCTTATAGATGCAATGCCAGCAAAGTTTGCTTTATGAATGAAGGGCCAAAGGCATTGCACACAGCTTTATCTGACAGCAAGAACTCAGAGAGTCAAACTCTCAAAATCCAAGAAAAGCAGAAGGTAGAGATTAGAACCGATTCTTGTCCTGAGTAATAGAGACAGTGTTTAGGGTGGAGTCTCCAAATGGTCTTTGTCATACTGCTCCCCTGTCCATCCAGACATTTGGTGCCAGCTGTGTGGCAACTATACACTGTGTTATATTTCATTAATGACCTGGCTGCTTTAGCGAAGGTTATAACAATCATGCCACTCAAAAATATTTTCTGACTAAATAAACACATGTATTAATTATTATATATAACTGAATTAATGTATAAAATAAGTTAGTAACTACCCAATTTTGAGATCACTGTGATTATACCTATAAAAGAGTAATTTAGTACAATTGTTTTACGACTTAATGTGGAAAATTATCAAACAAATGCCAGTGAAATAGAATGAAAAAGATGAGTGTCTTTTGGTTTTTGTTTTTTGTTTTTTCCTGCAGATGTGCTGGGCCAGGTCTTCAAGGATGTTCATCAAGGTATGTACCATGACTTTGAAGCTGGTAGACTTTTTGGATCTATGACCAGAAACCGTTTCTGATTTCCCCCCAGCCTTTCAGTTTCTTCCAAATCCTCTGGGCCAGCCACATGTCCCCATATCTACCTTCTTGCCCTGTGTCCATTTTATTGGTCAGTGGAGGGCATATATGATAGAAAATCATAGTGCCAACTATCTAAGAAGTTGACACTGTGGACCGACCCATTCTATGTATCTGTTTCTCGCTTTGAGGACACAGTGGCTTCACTTAAGTATTGTCTTTTCTGAAGGTCTCCTCTTTCTTCTAAGTAGACCAGGTGGTCATATCACAAACACAGTGTGTTTTGTCAAATGGCAAAGGTCCATCTTGGGGGCATTTTCCCTTTTCTTCCTTCTTGAATCATATTGTCCAGCAAAGGCAATGAACTTCTTTCAACATTTTGTTTCTGATCAGTTTCCACTATTAACTGAAATGTTACCCTGAGAAAAGTAAAATTATGAATTTCTATTCAGAGCCATCATGCGAAAGTGATATCATCAGCCAACAGAATCTAGTGAAGAATTGAGACTGTCTACAAAAATACCTGCTTGGTGCTCAAGCTTATCTCTCAGTTTTGGACATGTCTAAAATATCCCTTCCCTTACCATCTTTTCCTGGACTTCTTTCTATGGTAGTTGGTTCCTTCTGCCATCAGCTGAAACAGTAAAATAAAATAAAGCCTTGTCTCAGTCATGAGACCCTTCTGAATCTCATCTCCTTTCTGAGCTTCCAAGGTTCCTGCCCCAACAGAGCTCCCCCTGTCTTCCTAGGCAGCCTCCATGACGGTCTTATATGGTTTTCCATACAATCCCTTCCTTGAAAACAATGACCATTTTTTTATAATCATTTTTTTATTAACTGGTTTATCTTCTAAACAGGTTACCTGCCTTTGCTACTGTGGCTTCTCATTTAATACATGCTCTGAAACAAATTATCCCTGGTATATCCCAATGTTCATTTTTATTGGTGAAAACTCATTAATTTTTATTAATTGGGGAGTTTAGTCTGTAGCTCCAGAGATGACTTGTACTCCCTGAGAAGGAAATGTACATCTCATGATGTACAGTTGGTTCAATTAAGACAGGTCTGTGAGGACTTTGGTACCTTATCTATATGTAAATAACACTGATAGCAAATCTTTGCTATTCATTAACATGTCTCCCTGAAAATAAGAATATATTTATCAGGAACTCAAATAGAAGTAAATTCTTAAGGATAATAAACTTTCAACCTAGCACCACCATAAAAGAAATGAAAATAAACCTTAAAATAAATTCCAAATTCAGAGTTAGTAATATTAATTCAGATAATCCTTAGTGAGCTTAAAGACGTAACTTCTGATTTTTCATCTTTCTGAAGTTAGATTTGGTCTTGGTGAGACAGAGCAGTGAATGCATTCCAGGGTTTGAGGATTCGCCAGGGCAATACTTACAGCAACAATGATACTGTTTATGTCTAAATCATATCAGTTTTTACTTCCATTGAGTTCATTCACATGAGCATAATAATAAAAGTAGAGGACCCTATGAGAGATCTCAATGTGTCTGGAAGTTCTCCCAACATGGCCACGGGAAAATACCTAGTACTTTTTTTCAATTGTGTATATGTTCTCTTACAAAGGACAAGATGCAAATTCATATAAAAAGCAGTGCTTACTTATACAACACAACCCATGATACTTCCAGGAAGTATCATGGAAGAGCAAGCAGAAAGACTGTAAGAACCAGAGCACCAGGATATCTGCTGTGAGAGAGTCTTCTATGTAGGAAAGAAAGCTGCACTCATGAATTTGTAAAAATATAGTTGTCTAAACAGGGCCTCCACAATGACAGTGCCTCTGACATGCCAACATGGATGTGGAATCTTACAAAGCCCCAGCCCTAGATAAAAAGCTATTAGTAGCTGCTAAGAGACGGAGAATCAATTCCCTCCAGAGACAAGCCCCTGATAGGTTATCCAATTTCTGTGATCATCCCTAAATGCATAAACATATGAGAATATGAGCAACACTAACTGGACTCAGCTGGTTGTATTTTATATATGTGTGTGTGTGTGTGTGTGTGTGTGTGTGTGTGTGTGTGTGTGTGTGTGTATCAACAATTAAAGAAGAAATAATGAATTGGCGAGGGAATGGAGGGACATGGGGGGAGTTGGAGGGAAAATGGGAGAAGCAGCAATGATGTAAATACAGTACTTATGTATGATATTCTCAAAAATAAAAAAAATAAAAAGTTTACTGATGTCTGGATTGTTTTTGAATTCTATATTATATATTTTCTTCATCAATAGATTACAAAAAATTATCATTATGAAAGAAATTCAAAGACACCTCAATCTTTTTATTTTTTATTTTTTATTTTTATTTATCTATCTATCTATTTATTTATTTATTTATTTATTTATTTATTTATTTATTTATAGAAAGGGTCTCATTATGTAGGTAGCCCTGGGTGTACTGGAACTCACTCTGAAGACCAGGCTGGCCTCAAAATCCCAGAAATCTGCCTGCCTATGCCTCAAGTGCTAGTTTTAAAGGCATGAGCCACAAACGCCAGGCCCTATGGAGACCTCCATTTTTTACGTGCAGGAAAGGGAGCTGACTTGGGGCAAAGAAGCTAAGAATGCTGGAAACTCTGTCTTGGAACTCAGCCCCCAGTCCTTTGCCCTCTAGAAGTCACACAGTATCCCAGGTTCTGAGATCATTTTAAATGTTATCTATGTATCAAAAGGTGCCGGACATGGGTGAAATGCCAACGTTACCTTCTCTTGTCTCTCAACCTCATTCCAGGCCCAGGATCCCATCCATTGCCACGGGGATTGTGGGTGGCCTCCTCTTCATAGTGGTGGTGGCCCTTGGGATTGGCCTGTTCATGCGAAGGCGCCACATTGTCCGAAAACGCACACTCCGCCGCCTGCTCCAGGAAAGAGAGGTGAGTGGTAAGGCTGACTGCCTTTGGGTCAGTACCGTCCTCTTGACCCTCAGCTGCGGCAGAGCAGAGAAGGCCTCCCTCTGAGAACTTGCAGTGTGGATTTTATAGAGCAGACACTGTTTTAGCTTGCTATCCCTGTAACAAACACTCAGGTTGATCCATGCATAAAGAGGAGATTTTAATTCGGCTCATGGTTTTAAGAGGTTCAGGGTTAGCAACACTGTTTTTGGGCCTGGGGCAGAAGTGCATGTTGGAGCACATTAACTCACCACACGCCAGGGAGAGGGAGCTAGTGCCCCCCCATTTATAAAGACCCCACTATTTCCTAATGGCATCATGGTCCATTTTTAACACACGAGTTTTTGCAAGACATTTGCCCAAACCATAGCATATATATAATTGCCTCTATGAATTATTTGCTGTGATGGAAGAAGCAGGAAAAAAATGTCCAATTATACACAATTAGTTATATTTCGGTATCTCCATTCAATAATACATTTGTGTTTTAGTCATTGTCTTTCAAAATTCAAAGCCGAGTTGATGCCTGCCTAAAGGGTAGCTCCTGTGTGTGTATATAGGAAAGTAATCAAGAAGAGAGACATTGAAATCTTATGATGACCCCATGATTGAGATGTTATTTCAGAGGGAAAATGCCACCACCCACGCAAGTGGCTGCTCCTTTGTGACTTCTCTATAGAATGGGTGTTAAGCCATTAGCCTTTAGCCCTGTGTCTGGCACTGCATTAGAAGCCCTTGTCCTTGATAAACAAAAATGACCCCAGCAGTTACGGTATAACATTTTTCTTGCTATTATATCTCAACTAAAACTGGTTGACACAGAAACAGACATGGAAAGTCCAGCCCTCGAATGCAGCTGCTTTGTTAAACACCTGTATCAGAGAATCTGGGTTTCTCTTGTGTGTTACTAAGTCCTGAAGAATAGGTGTGCATTTCTCCTTTTGAACATGTGTGTTGAGTGCTTTGTACTAAGGCAAGGCCACATGCTGTTAGCTGCTGGCCACTCTTGCTCCGAGTGCATCTACTATCCATGTCACATATTGTGAAATACAGAGCGAGCATCTCAGGTCTGCTTCCTTCTCCTTCACAGCTTGTGGAACCTCTTACACCCAGTGGAGAAGCTCCCAACCAAGCCCTCCTGAGGATCTTGAAGGAAACGGAATTCAAAAAGATCAAAGTTCTGGGTTCTGGAGCATTTGGCACAGTATATAAGGTAACATCCCTGGAGACAGTTCTGCATGAGGCCCTGGGAACTGGTGTTTGCCACGCTCTTCAGCCCTGTGTGGGTAAATCAGACGCCACAGCATTTTGGTGATTTTATCAACATCTGTCTGTTGTGCTGAAGATGTAGGAATTGCAGTGTTACCCCCGGTTATTGAAAGGAGTTTTCTTTGTTAGCACTGTGAGATCCAAAGCATTTTCATAGATGGCATTGCCCTCAATAGAGGTACTCATTGGGAGTGTAGCAGGTAGAGACATAGGGGCTGCTTTTTTTGAACTGTCAGAGTAAATTATATAATGGATATCTCAATGTACTTCTTCTAGGTCTATTTTTTTTTCATAATGTCTGATTCCAGTTAGAATGATCAACACTGTCTTTATAATTAGCTGTATTAGTTGCTTCTCTATCGCTATGATAAAACACCATGACCAAGGTGACTTAAAGCAGACTTTATTTTAGCTTACAGATCCAGAGGGTTAGAGTCCATAATGGCAGGGAAGCGTGGCAGTGGGCTACAGGTCTGGTGGCAGGAGCAGGGAGATGAGCGCTCACATCTTCAAACGCAAGCACAAAGCAGTGAGAACAAACTGGAAATGGTGTGAGAATTTTAATCTCCTATCATACCTGCAGTGATGCGCTTGCTCCAGAAAGGGTGCCCTACCTACAATCCTCCAAACAGTGGCAGCAGCTGGGAACCAAGGATTCAAAAATCCCAGACCACGCAGGACATTTCTCATTCAAACCAGCTCAAGCATAGTTTCTTGTTTTGCTTTGTCCTGATTTGTTTGAGACAGGCTCTTACTATGTATCCCAGACTGACCTTAAATTCAATCATCTTGCAATGGTGTCAAGTACCGGGATTACAGATGTGGGCCATTAAACCCCTTGGAAGTTTTATATGAATGTTTGTTTTAAATAATTAACTGGAATATAATTACATCACTCTCTCCCCTCCCATTTCTTCCTCTGCCCCTCCCAGGTATCCTTCATCAACCCTCTCACATGACTCCTACCCTCAAGTTGATAGCTCCTTTTTCATTATTATTGTTAAATATACATATATGTATATATGCATATATATGCACAAATACATAAATACAACTGGCTAAGTCCATTTTGGTTGTTGGTGTGTATACGGTTTCAGAGCTGACCTCTCTGCATTGGACAACCAATAAGGAGGCTCATCTCTGGGAGAACTAATTCTCCTTCTCCCAGAAAGCATTAGTCACCTATGGCTCTTTTTCTGGGGCTGGAATCGCATGAGTTTTTCACCCTTCCATCTTAGAATGTCCACTGATATTGCAATGTTCTTGACTTGTTTATGCACCCATTTCTAGGAAAAACTGTTTCACATCAGACTCTCTGGTATTCTGGCTTTTAACAATCTTTCTGGCTCCTCCTCTGAAATATTCCCAGTTGATCTCTGTATTGTGTCCAGTTGTGGTTTTCTGTGATGGTCTCCATTTGCCATAAAGAGAGGCTTCTCTGATATAGAGTGGTATTTGTTTGTTTTCATCCAAAGAAGTATTCAGATTCTTAGAGCCTGGTAATGAAGAGCCTCTAAGATATAATGAGTCCCAGCAATGCAGAGCCTTGAGGACTAGAGTCATTAATAAAAAACTCATCCATCTCACAAGGTAACAAGATGCCTGGCATGATGATTTCAGGTTAACGTCGGCTTTCTTCTTCTTCCCAGGGTCTCTGGATTCCAGAAGGTGAGAAAGTCAAAATTCCTGTGGCCATCAAGGAGTTAAGAGAAGCCACATCTCCAAAAGCCAACAAGGAAATCCTTGACGTGAGTTTCTTTTCCTGTCGAGCTGCCCACAGTTTCTAGATCTCAGAAAGCACCTCTTCTGCTTCCTACCATCACAATGTTCGATTTTAAATAATTTTCATCACCACATCATAAACACTCAGTTTTCATCTCTTCTCGTCCTTCCTGATAAAAAAAAGTACAGTTCTCTCTAAGACTCACCCTACCCCTCCACCCCAAAGAATGAAAGCTCAGAATTGCCATACATCTCCCAGGGCCAGTCTTGATGCTAATTTCTTAGCATGTGTTACCATAGTGACCGAAGGATGCACCTCAGCACAGGTTTTTCAGATGAGTGGATAGAGGCCCAAACTGCTCAGACTTCTATAGCTGAGGTCTGAAGTACATCACAATTTCTGAAATAAGCATTCATTTTCCTTTGCTGAATTAGCTTGTCTTTGCAATGACTTTTTTAAAGGTGCCAGAGATCAACAGCATGAAGCCTACTAGACTGTTGCCCCACCTTCTGAACCCCTCCCAGTTAACTGACACATCATCTCCTATGTTGATGACCGCTACTTTCTGGAGCATTTATGATGTTCATGAGAGCATCTTCTTGCTTTGAATTCTACTGAATTTTCTCCTACTTCTCCTAACCTTCTTAGCTCATGAAGAGGCTGAACTCAACTATGAAGAGGCTAATACAAAGAGACCGTCTTGGAACTGGATAGAGCCCACTTCAGTATCTGTCAGGGCTTCCAATAAGATCTTGAAAACTACTCTTATCCTGAGATAGAAGGTTGAAGAGAAGAAAGGGAAGCTAAGGGAAACCCACACTGCCCATTCCTATGAAAGATGACACACGAGTGCAGTGTCATAGAAAATCATGCATGCTGGCAATACACTTGTCAAGCAAAATCATCTTTCATTTTAAAGCTTGCGAATCAATGCCAAATCTTATTCATATACCCGGGAGGAAAAGCAGACAGGGGCTTGAGAAGACGTTTTACTTACAGTCCATCACTTATACTTGTTAAAAGGAAAATCATTTAGCCAACCTTGATTCCTTAATTAGCATTCTAATTCATTATGGATGCCCTAATAAATTACACCCAATAATGTGGACTTGAGCCATGTTTATAAGGTAACAATATAAGGACAGTTTGAAGTTTGGAAATATGCTGAATGATAGCTATGCCCCAGAAAGGAGGCAGGAGATCTGCTTTTGGGGGGCTTGGAAGTGACTACAGTAAATGCATCAAAGTCAAGTGCACCCCCATCTGAAGGCCCCTCCCCACTCTTGCTCCTTTGCCCCTTCCTCTCTCCATCGCTCATGCTCCCTCTGCCTTTGCCCTCTGCCTTTGGTTTTCTCCTCATGTGTCGGCCATCATGGCTATGGCGGCTAGTGGACGATGACCTTGAGGGCTTCTGGGTTGCTTGTCACGAGGCTGGGTTTGCCAGGCACTCAGAACATCTTCTGTGTAGGACCATGTACGGTTCCTGGTGGGCTCAGTGGGGGCGACGGCACTGAGGGACTGGTTTCTGCTGAAGGAAGCAAGGCCTGTGGTTCTAAGGCCAATTTCAGCAGGGGCTTAGTAGAACATCAATTGGCATTACCACAAGAACAGCCCACAGCGAACGTGCTTTTTAAATACTGGCATGAGCTTGTAAATGGTTCCAGTAACCCTGCGGTCTAGCTCCCTGACATATGATTTTTAGTGATTTAATTAACTGGTAAACATTTTTAAATGTCAGGAATCCCTACCCTTTCACTTGTCTTAAAAATAGTTGTGTGTTTGTGTGTGTGCATGCATGTGTGTGTGTGTGTGTGTGTGTGTGTGTGTGTGTGTGTGTGTGTATGAGGCACACATGCACACTCATGAGCTCATATCCAAGTGTACACGATAAGGGATTGCCCTGAGGTGTATGTTCCACCACACATGTGCAGCAGTCAAAAGATGACTTGTGACCTTGATTCTCTCCTTACCTCCCTGCACAGGCTGAGGGCTTCAGGGATCACACTTTGGCCATCAGGCTTCCACAGCAAGCACCATTACACATTGAACCAGCTCACTGATCCACTACCATTCATTTTTATGCCTTTCCAGGAATTTAGCATCTCCTGGAACCCTTTGCCCTCATTCATAACACAAATAATTCAGAGTTGGGTGAAACAGCAAGCAAGGATCCAAAACCCATATCAGCAATAGTAACAAATATGGCTTTTCAGGGTCACCAAAGCCCCAGGGACAGACCGCCCTGCAGTGAGCCTGGGACAGAAGCCACCAGGGTCTCCCCTGTGAGTGCTGCCTGCTTGCAGCTGGTTCAGAGATTGTTGTGGGATACCAGGCATATTTGCTGTGGGTCACAATGCACCTTCCCCACTTCCAACATAAACAGGGAAGAACAAAGCTCACTTTAACGTTCACACACGACTACACAACACTCTCATTGTGCAGGGTGTGGGCAGGAAGTGACAGCCCAGTTCTGTTTGTCTATCATAGTTTAGTAGGACCAACTGGCAAGGTTCCAGGCTCTGTGTGGCCTGACACCCACACCCCCTGCTCTGTTCCTGTCCCAGTCATCATCAGCCTATGGCAGTTAAGTGTCTCAAATTGCTCCAATTTGCAGATGGTTTTTCTCCCCCTCTAAAATGAATACAATATGTGCCCAAATCTCAAACACATCTTGAGAAAATAGGCCCAGCCAGAGGATTTCTTTGCTGTTATGATTGTACAGCTTCCCAGACCCAGAGGAGAGACGTGATTTGTGCTTTACTGGCAATCCCACAGCCTAATAATTTTTCCATATACTTTCCAGTTTAAATTTAGGCTAGGCAATGGAAAGAGAATGTAAAACAGATTTATATACTGCAGCATACGTGTGTGAGTATGTATGTGAGTGTACGTATGTGAGCATGTGTGAACGTGTATATGAGTGTCTCATATGCATGAATATCCATTTCAGAGGCTGGAACTGGTATGCTGAGAGCACTTCTCCAGTTGATCTTTGCAGGGGTGTTGTGGGCAGGCTTCCTGACCCAAATGCTTTCCCACCATTCAGTCTGAATCAAGCCTGCTGAGAAGGGAGACCTTCCTCTAGACTGCATGTTGGCCCAAAGACGTCTCCTGCAAATAGGGTGTCTACAGTACCTGTGACCAGGGCTTCTCGTGAAGTGAGCAAGTCATTGTCCAGGACATACTGAGATCCAGACTCAGACCCCACAAAGGCCTAACAGCGTCATCATTAGCCTTGAGTTGGGGGGGTGGAGGGTCATCTCAAGGAAGATACTAGCATTTCTTAAACTCTGAAATATCAGGGTGACTCAGGTCCCTTTCATCAAAGCTTTTACTAATAGCATATTCTATTTGGGTCTTTTCCTGTCAAGCAGACCTCCAACAACACCTAAAGAGAGCCCACATCCCACAGTATATCGGTATTTCATAGTCTCACATAAATGTCCCTGACGCTGTGTACAGAGTATGTACTTTGAAACTCAAAACAAAGTCATCCCTTTTTACCTGGAAAGGGATCCATGTGCCTCTCCCATCGGCCACTGCCAGGGAGCAATCATAATACATCTGTTGTCCTTGCCTTGTAGGAAGCCTATGTGATGGCCAGTGTGGACAACCCCCATGTCTGCCGCCTCCTGGGCATCTGCCTGACCTCCACCGTCCAGCTCATCACACAGCTGATGCCCTATGGCTGCCTCCTGGACTATGTCCGAGAGCACAAGGACAACATCGGCTCCCAGTACCTACTCAACTGGTGTGTGCAGATCGCAAAGGTGAGCACAATAGGAGCTCTGCCCACTGGGGTACAGGAGGAGCCAGTGGCTGCTTTGGGAGGCAGGAGCAATGTTTCTGTGGAGTACAAGGCACCTTGACTTGCTGTACTCTGCCTTGGTCTTCCAGGAGACCATTTGTAAGATGTGATCATTTGTAAAAGCATGTAGAAAGGCAATCTGGGCAACTGGGCTCACTGAGAAGATGTATGCGTGTTTGCGTCTTTATTTTAGATTAAGTTCAGTTGCTTGGCTTGGGCATAGAACCAATGCCTACATACCTTGGTACTGGTGCAATGCTGTTGGATGTTGTCCTTTTTTCCTCTGGAGTTCTTCTTGGTGAACACTGTTGTGATTTGTGGCACAGTATGGTGGTTTAATTCAGTTGGGACTTCATAGTAAGGTCAGCAAAACAGGGTGAGATCAGAAGAAGGAGGATTAAGAAGATGGAGATGGCTGGGCGGTGGTGGCACACTCCTCTATTCCCAGCACTCAGGAGGCAGAGGGAGGGGAATCTCTGTGAGTTTGAGCCCAGCCTGGTCTACAGAGTGAGTTCCAGGACTGTTTCACAGAGAAATCCTGTCTCAAAAAAAAAAAAAAAAAAAAAAAAAGATGGAGATGGTTTGGACATGTTGGCAGAGCCAGGACTAGCATAAAGCCTGATATGCATATCTGAAGAGGCCAATGGAAGGGCTACTTCAGTGTCTCCCATCACAGAAATATTCCAAAGCCAGAGAGTGGCTGAGGGAGCCCAAATCCCCTCCACCCCCGTGGACTGAGGATGAGCACAGAGAAATAGACCAAACATTTAACTGCCCATGGCCCTCTGAAGGACTCAGACTTTCATCTCAAATTTCTCCCATCTCAACCTCAGCCCTGCATCATATTTTGGCACCAAACTTGGAAAGTTTGATTTATTTTCTCACTGTAATGGCACATTTTTATATGGTTAAATTAAAGGAATTTGTGGTAAAGCCTGGTCTCTAAGTACGTGTCATCGCTTCCATCCTCTTCAGACAGTTGACTAAGTTGTTGAAGGAGGTGCAAGGGACCACAGGAGCAGAGGCAAATGAGCTCCCGGATCTGGGCCATTTCTTCCTGTCGACAGGCTCTGCCCATGGTGGCAGTTGCTCCTGGCATGTAGGAAGGTGTGTGCTGAACTTGCCTCACCCATCTCTAGGGACACATAGGTGCATGCACATGTGACATGACCAAACCACCTCTTTCTGAGAGCTGTGGCGTAGGATGAGGCCTGCTTCTTAGTATGAAACTCTGGACCATGCTGGAAAAACATCAGCCCCCTTCCCAGTGATCCAGACCGCAACATGTTCTTTATATGCCTGTGGCATCTGAGAAGATGTCTCAGCTGCAACCTGGAAAATCGGGATCACTTACTACTCACTCCTCTCCAGCTGGTCTAACCGTGGGTTTCTGCTGCTGCCGTTGTCCAGTCTTGATGCTCTGCACACAATATCAGAGTTAAGCAATGACTGTTAGAGAGTATTCCTCAAACAGGGCCACATGTGCCTGAGTTGCTGTGGATTCCTGTTGCTGCTAAATGCGTATTGCTCGTGTGTAGTTGCTTCTTGGTACTACCATGATGAAGTCCTACAGATTTGGTGTCTTATCACAGTCAAAGCTTATCCCCTCATATTTCTGGAGGCCAACAGTCCCACCTCAGGATGTCCGGGAGAAGTTGGCTTCAAAGGCTCTTGGGAGGCTCATTGCTTGCTTCTCTGAGCCTCTGGGGTCCTCAGCACTCCTTAGCCTCTGCCAGCCTCACTGAACTCTCCGTGGTGTCTTCGTCTGGCTTTTCCCTGTCTCTTTGTCCAGATGCCCTTTATTTTCATATGCAGATGCTGTCACTGGACTTGAAAACACGGAGAGCAGATTTTCAGTATCCTCATCACAAAGAGATGAGGTTATGGCTATGCTGTTTAGCTTTGTCTCATTTTCTCCATATCAGGAACACTCACAGACACATCAAGTTGCATCCCATAAATATACACAAAAAAGATGTGCTAATCATTGGACTTAGGGCTCATCTTAAATTCAGGTTGGTGCACTTCAAGATCTTTAAGTAATTAAATTTTCATAATCCTATTTCCAAATAAAGTTCCATTCTGTAGTTTAGAAAGATGTGAAATTTGGGGGACACTATTCCACCTACTTCGTAGCTGAACTCTAGCTAATCCAGAACAACTTTCACTAGATATAAAAAGGTTTCTGAAGACCTACCCAAGTCCTCACTCCTGAACCCTGGAATTCTCCCTTGCATTTTCCTCCAAGATTCCTTCAGCCAGGACATGATGCTTTCCTTTCTCAAGCGGCCTCTTAGTTTACTCTGCTTCCTTTATTCCTACATGCCGATTGCTCAGAAGACATGGTTTATTCTTGAGTTTGTGACCACTTTCCCAAACTTCATCCCCAGAATGGGGAAGGGCTACCAGAACCCTACATTCCCTAGGGTGAGCTTCTCATGCACGACTACTACTGATGCACAGTTCACCAGAGGTTCCTGGAGACTTAACATCTCAGGTAACACAAAAGTGAATCTTCTTAAGGATGGGGCACAGCTCAGCCTGGAATGCCTACCTAACAATATGCAAGACTCTGGATTCCATCCCTGTCCCACATTTTCCTCTCTCTCTCTGCCTCTCTGTCTCTGTCTCTCTGTGTCTCTGTCTCTCTCTGTGTGTCTCTCTCTCTCTCTCTTTCTCTCTCTCTCTCTCTCTCTCTCTCTCTCTCTCTCTCTCTCTCTCTCTCTCTCTCTCTCAAGGTTGGCAGGTAGACCAATCAGACTGTAATAATAATATCATCCTTTTGCCTTGACAGACAGAGAGTCTCTGTGAGTTTCGCCCAAACCAAAATAGGCTCACCATTTCAGTGAACTATAAATTCAGATCTTGATTCTGGTGTTCACGGGTTGGGCAAGCTGGGCAAGCTGCTCAGTCTTCTTCAGCTGCTGAGCACTCATGTGTTCTGCCACCTGTCTTTTTGCATGGTAAGGCAGAGAACAGCCAGCCCGTCACCTGCCTCGGGTTCCGGAATACATCTGCTCCTGACTGTTGCCTCCTTTCTTCTTCTTTCTCTCTGGCTAAACAAGGTCAGCAGTGGTCAAAGTCAGTCTAGCTCTAGCTTGACGTGTTGCTTGGATCTAGATGTCTATCACTTCGACTTTATTTGAAAGTAGCATCTTCTAGCCCATGTTTTCCTGTGTCTGGTTTTGAGTCTTTTTTCTTCCTCTCCCCTTTATCTTAACATTCACATCAGAAGTTGGAGTGACTTCTAAACCACTCCTCTGAAAGCATGATAGTGCCCACCACAGACCGCATCTGCATGGTGCCGTTCAAGCATGAGCTGCCAATGTTTCTGAGGTTTGACTGTCTCTTAAGATAGTTTTCTATGTAATATTAATCATAATTTCTGCCTGTTATTTGGGGCCACTGTTGTGCTATTGTACTTTGTGTATATTATTTTGATTGGAAGTCTTCCCATGTTTGGAGCAGTTCACTCTTCTCCTGTGGTATGACTGCTTGGGAATTCACAAGGAAACCTTACTGTGCTGTACTGAACCAACCAAGTGGTGGAGTGTACACCCTGAAGGGGAGGAGCATAATGTTTTCCCGGGTGCTCAGGAGAAAACTTTGCTCCTACATTAGTGGCAACTTATCTCAGTATTACACAGTTTTCCTTTTCCAAGAGCAAAGGAAAACTTCCCAGACATTTAGTGGCTGAGCACAAACTCAAGTCCTAGCATTTCAAAGTAGGATCTATTGACTCACAAATACCTTCCTTGACCCACAAAAGCATTGACCAGCTTCAAAAGTTTTCTAGACATTGGTGGTTATACAAGTCCACTGTCTGAGCTAACCTGCTAAGAAGCTTGAAAATGGAGGGGAAGGAAGATAGAGAGAGATGGGAGGCAGTTTAGGGAAGAAACCAGTAGAGGATTGAGAGACTGTAAGAGAATTATACTCTCCTTACCATTTATGGCAAAAATGGATTCTCTTCTGTACATATAACCTGAGGAGCCTCAGGAGACCTAAGTTAGGAAGGGTTAGGGAGTCTCCCAAGCACCTCACTTCAAAGTTTATCACAAGCTTCCACTTACTAGAATGAGCTCCTTAAGTATGTACATTCCTCTTGGAATATAAAACTGATAAACCCAAAACTATATCACTTCAAAGTTAAGGTCATGAAATATCCATTCAGCTTGGCAAACACCACTACTGTCCGTACCCTTAACTCATGTGAGCACACATTATCGCAGAACCCTACAATAAACAAAGTTACATGAGCTAGTCCTTTCCCCAGACTCTGGACACCAGAGCTTTGCTTGTCACTGGGATTGAGATCTCACAGATTTGCACTTTCAGACAAACATCTGACTGACTCCAACACCTGTGCACGGTTCTAGGACCAGGATTTTGTGGAATATTCAAGACCGATGTCTGAGGCAGGGAATCTCAGGAAGACTGGTTTATGGGCGTTTATGGGAGACCACAACTCTATGAACACTGAACTACATTTAAGTCAGTCTTGGTTTTAGGTTCCCACAATAAAAATTAAGAATGGTTTATTTCTGGAGCTGTGAATTAATATTTTTGGAGTGTAGTTTATCAGGCTAATTAATGGAAGCCTTGGAAGCTGAAAGAACTGTAAGAAAAGCTAGAGCAACACAGTTCTGTCATCGTAGAGGAGTGGAGAGGATGGGAAGGCGAGTGGGTAAGAGCTGAAACAGGAGCTACTGTCTGTGTAGATACGTGTGGGAGAAGAGAGGCTCCGACTTGCTCCGTATACCATCAAATATGCAGCTTCCTACTCTGGTGCCAGCTGGACGCTGGTCTTTACCACTCACATCTGCTCCCTCAACCATGGCTTCTGCAGGCTTCAGGGCAGGATTGCACATTCCCATTTGGGTGGACCTCCCATCTCAGTGACCAAGAACACCAAAGTGGAGAGTGATGCAATGCACTCACTGCTCCTGCCCACAGAAGGAAGGGCTTATAAGATTCGTTTGCCTTCAAAACACACACACACACACACACACACACACACACACATACACACACCCCTCATAAATAACTGCACAATACAACAGTACCCATACTAAAAGGACCAAATATTTGCTTTATTTTAATTATTTTAAATTTTTTCTTTCATCCTTCATCATGAAAAAAAATTATAGTTAAATGTAAGCAGTCAACATAAGCTGACCCCTTGAAAATATAAACATAAAAAGCATATTCACCAAAATCCAGCAGGTATAGAGTGAGCATTTAGCAGCATGTACACTTGCTCATATGTTGACATTCTTGTCCTGCACTTGATGCTGGAGCACAGAAACACTCCCCAGCTGTCTCCCTGCTCCTCTCCCTTCTTGCACAGGAAAGTGTGGGGGCCACTAAGTCTGGGATTATCCTTATCAGGATTTCTAGGGCAGAACAGAAATGGATCCTGCTCTAGCCTCTCTGAACTTTGCCCAAGACATGTGGGATGTACAACCCTTGGGAAATTGGCCTTTAAATGTCACTCTCTACTCTCAGCCCTTTCTTGTTCTGCAGCAGGGTAACGTGCCAGAAAGACCTTTGATATCCCTGTGAGACACACAACTAGGCCAGCCCTTTTCAACAGAAGTTCCAATGTGGCTCCTTAAGTTCGCTTCTTAACTTCAGCTTTTCAAAAACCATTCTCGCTGTCCTATAGCAATTAAACAAAAATAAATATGTTAAACTCAATTAAAGTAAGAGGAATCAGGAAATGAGCCTCCCAAGGGGCCCTACAGGAGCCAGTGCTGATATTACTGTTTAGATTCTGAGAGTTCATAAGCAATATCACAGCTCTTATCTTTAGTGACCTGTTAAAATATAACCCTGTTGGATTCTGAGATGGCCTCTCAAACTGCCTTGAAAGTGCGTGGCAGAGCGAAGTGGATAGACATGTGTCTACATTGGATCTAATCTCTCTGTCCCCAGTTTACTTAAGACCCTTGCTGAGCTGTGTACCTCAGAGCATGTGGGCACTCCCCTCTGGCTTTTCCAAGCCTTTTCTGAGGAAACCTGTGTTTATAGTAAAGCCATGATGCTCCTTGAAAGCCCTGAGCTGGTGGGTGTGATGAGCCAGCAGGGCTCCATGGGTTTATCAGGCTCGCACAATGACAGGGAGTTCTTGACACACCACCAAGTACTAGATTTTTGTTGTTTTGATTTTGATAGCACAAACAGCGTTGGCCCAGCCAGCAAGTTTCATTCACAGGCCACAGCAGGGGAAATTAGGATTAATCCCCATGGTGTCTGGAGACTGAGAACTTGTCTGAGAAGCGGGTTGCTCCAGGTCTCTAACAAGTTGGCCCTGTAGGTACCTAAACAGAGAGGCTGCTGCACTGTGGTGGTCGCTGGTGCATCCTCAGTACTTAGCACTGCTGCTATCTTTCATTAAATTATTCATTGTTTAACAAATGCTCAAAATGTATCCCATGAACCACATCTGTATTGAGCATTTTATTGTTATTTCAGACAGTGTCTCATATAGCCCAGACTGGATTCAAGGGTAGCCTTGATCCCCCAATCTTCCTGGCGCTACCACTGAAAATCTGACTACAGCAGTGCACCACCACACCTGGGTCTCTGTTAAACATTTAAAGCAGCGAAATAAAAGTCAATACAGGTAGTTGTGTGGAGTTTGAAATGCCCTCTCAAGATCTCCTTGTGAATTTAATAAGTGGGCAAAAGACAAGAAGCTTTAGATGAAGGCAGAAGGAGAGAGAGGGGGACTGGTCGTCTGCATAGAGACTGGTATGTGACCTGTCACTTTAAGCCTGTGCAACATCCCCACAGTAGTTCCCAATGTGAAGAATGAATGAAAGAAAGACATGCTGGACGGTAATAGAAGATAGCAAGGGTGAGAGAGGGTAAGGATGAGGGGAGAGGAGAGAAGAAAAAGGGGGCAGGGAGGGAGAGGAAAGGGAGAGAGTGGGGAGAGGGGCAGGGAGGGAGAGAGAGGGAAGAGGGAGAGTGGGGGGGGGGGAGAACCAGTAAGGACATTCTACACAGGCAGAAGGCCAAGTGTTATCACCCCCTTTTCTAGTGGGGAAAAGTTCATCGTATTTAGTATGTAGAGTCCTTACTCTTAGAAGACACAAGGGCGCCAAAGACCAGAACAGTTACAGTTCCATAAATCAGAGAGGTGGCTGGAGCTGAGGAAGGAGCAGCCTCTGAAGTGCCATCACACAAGAGAAAGGGGCAGAGAGAGGGAGTCTCGTGTTTGGAACTGTTTCTCTGGCTCCTGCTCCTTCCTGTCCTTTCGCTCCCCATCAGTGATTTCTAACTTGGAAGTGCTAGTCCAGAAAAGACACTCCCAGTTTCCTCTTCACTTTTATTTCCTTGAGCATGCAAATCTTCAAAAAGAAACACATAACCTGAACAGCATCTAAAATACATAGGCACTTCCTAAATAATGTGATAGAGAGGGGGATAGTTCTTGTTCACAAGAGATGTGGACAGTGATTTATTTTCCGAGGAAAGAAAGACATCAAGGGTTTCTTTCCAAAATACAACTCAAAGCTGCGTTTTTGATAGCAGCCTCCTGGAAATCTACTCTCTTGAGATGGCTGGTTCTGTGCTCAAAAAGAATGTTATTTCATTCTCATAGGCTAAGTCAACAATAATCTTTTATGTGAGAATCTGTGCAAAAACAAGCAGTTTGCCCAGAAGTTTAGGGGATGATCCTTGTCTATAGGTCTACTCTGACAATGCACTAAAGTGGAGTTGCATCCACCATCATGAAAACACTTTGACAAGAAGAGTTGGTTCAAGTCTCACATTTCCAGGGTGTCCTCAGCAAGCCCTGCTCTAGGTCAGCTCTGTACAGGAGAGTTCATAAAGTATTAGTCTGATAGGAAGTAGGCGATGGAGACCACCCTCCTGGCCAGAGAGGACAGGTGTATTTGCAAATAGAGGAGAGAGTAGAACAAAACACACAAGACTTCAGCACACTTGACTCCTTCTCAGGTGTCCCTCCGGACGAGCCTGGCCCTGCATAGAGAAGGCATTGCTGGTAAGCTAGTATCCAAATCAAGGTAAACTCCAAGGGAGCCCAGCTCAGCTGATCCCACACCAGAGAAGGAGTAGAAGCCAAAAGTGATGCTCATCAGCCAGCAGGAGGAAAACTGCCTGTGACAGGGATGCCAGAAGGTTTAAGCAAAGACAGCAGTTCAAAGGGAGTGTTTCTGGGAATTCACTGTGCATCAGTGTGCCGGCTACATTTCAAACATTACCTCTTTATTGCTATTGTATCGGTGATTCCAATTGCAGCAGAATCGTGGAGCAGCTATGGAGGTGGTAAAGAATGGTGTCTTGTAAAACATACTCAACGCTGGGCAAAGTCTTCTTTGTTGGTAGTGATTCACAGAAGACAGCCCAAGGAAAATGACAAAAGGATGCCTGAAATCCACCAAGGAACCCTGCTTTGCCATAGTCTAGTGAGATTTACGCTAGCCCCCTTAAGATAAAGAGAGAGCTGATGCCTGAGGCCTCGTAGAGGCTCCAGGTAGCAAGTTGTAGGGGAAGCAGCCACCTTAGGTCTGCACCCAACCTTTGAGTCTTACTCTACCACTGGTCTCCTCTACGTGTGTGTGTGTGTGTGTGTATGTGTAATTTTTATTATAAAAAAAAATTTTCTTTCCTTTTACATACCAACCCTTGTTCCTTCTCCCTCCCCTTCTCCTGCTTCCCCCACTTACCCCCATCCCACCCCCTATTTATTCAGATGATTACTAATGTTTACCAACTTCGAGTTACAGAGTATGAAGGCTAACACTATATCCCCTGGTGTGGAGCAGCCCAGGGATTCTTTCGGACTTAACCTTGAGTGACTTAACCTTAATACTGAGCATGAGCATCACCTTCAAAAGACACTGGGGAGCCTCTGGATGGTCTGCTCTCTCACTTCAGGGCCCTCTGTGTTTCAGGGCATGAACTACCTGGAAGATCGGCGCTTGGTGCACCGTGACTTGGCAGCTAGGAATGTGCTGGTGAAGACACCACAGCATGTCAAGATCACAGATTTTGGGCTGGCCAAACTGCTTGGTGCTGAAGAGAAAGAATACCATGCAGAGGGAGGCAAAGTAAGGACCTAATAGTAGATCAGGAACCATCTCCCTGCCATCCAGACTCATCCCCCTACCTGTCAGCTGTGGGCAGCATTTGCCAGACATTCTGAGTGAGGTCACAGGAGCTGCCACCATGACCTGGGGTCTAGTCAGGGTCATCTCCTACTTTGTGAATGGAGTTTGGTGGGAGAGGTAGTGAAGAGGGAGACCGCCCCCCACCTCCACCCCCCACCCCCGAGGCTAAAGAAAGCAAGCTCCCAACTTCAGGTAACATTAGCAACTGTTGAATTCAACTCCCTCCTCCAGGAGGAAAACACCCTTCAAAAGACCAGCTGGGAAATATCACAGCTAATTTAGTAATACCCTCTCTTGAGACTCATATTGAATAAGCTGTGTTGTTCTGGGAGTTCCGGTGAGTCCGTGTGACTCACGCTGGGGACTGGTAGTGAGGGGGCTGGCTATCTTCCCTCTGTATTGTTTTTAGTTCCTTCAAGGCCTCGGCACAGCAGTGAGGGGTGCACAGCCCTGCCAGACCCCCTAGATGACCCCCAGCCATCCCCAGCTACAGCCCTCTTATCATGCTGACAGCATGGCCCTAAATAGCACCATCAACCCCATGAACTTGGTTATTGAAAACATAACCCAAAGTCTGGGAGCTAGGGCTCCTGGGAAATACCACAGCCTTAGCTCGTCAAAATAGTCCATCTCCCAAAATGCTCTCAGCTACAGCTTTCATGAAGTGGCTCTGGGACCATCTGCTCTCTGGGATATTTAAAAACCCCTACTGAGAGGACGACCCAAAGCCTGGCAGGGAGGTCAACTAGCTTTCCCCATTAGTCATTTGTAATTACACCTAGAGCGACTAGATTTTTCAGCTGTAAGCTAATAGTCTTCTTGCTGCTTTATTTCCCATCGTCCCAAGGTACCTATCAAATGGATGGCTTTGGAATCAATTTTACACCGAATTTATACACACCAAAGTGATGTCTGGAGCTATGGTGAGTCAAAACTCTGACGCTAATGAAATTGTACTAGGGCTAGGCTGGTTCTTATTATTTGTTAATTGACATTATGTGCTCTGACATGCAAGTGTTACCTTTCAAGACAGTGAGCATTAATAACGGAGTTGCTGTGTCTGTCTACTGCACTAAGAGAATCTGACAAAGGAAATGAAGCCTAACTCCCACCCCAAGCATCATTAGAGACAGCCATGAACTCAGGCTGCAAGGGAGGCCGTAGAGGGAAGAGGGCCAGAATGTGGGCTAAGCCTCTGCCTGCAGAAGTCAAGCAGACGTAAGCTCTTGCTTTGAACTTGAAGGGAACCAAGGAAAAACAACAAATGAGGTTTCATGGGGGAAGCATTTCTGATAGAGAAACGATGTTTTCTCGTGAAACGGCCAAGATGGTTGTTTCATCTGGTACTTGATTTAATATCTCCGTGTCAAAGAGAGCAGCTTGACAAGGGTGAACCATGAGGATAACTGTAGAAAGTAAATAAGAACAGGAAAACAGTTGCTGCTTGTTGCTCAAGAAAGAAGCACCTCTCCAGGGCCCAGTTCTTCTCAACACAGCATAGCCGTGCACGGGACTCTGCTTCCTGTGCACAGGACGGCCACTCTCGCTAAGCCTATCTTGCATGCTCTTCCCTTATCTTGAGCCTATTGTGGCCTCACCAGTAATGCCCTTGGTTGCTGTGTCTGGCGCTTGGTCCTTGAATTTCTCCCAGCAGTTCATGGAAAGGTTGGAAAACACTGCCATTATGAAACACAACTCTCACCTCAAAGGGAATCAGGGGTAGTTTATTCTGACCCAGACATGGGTGGTCATCACCAAGAAGCACAAACTCAGGCTACCCTGAACATTTCCTATGGAAGCAGACATATCAGATTATACTTGCTCTAGGACAAAGAACATTCTATGTCAAATGCTTTGCAGTTTACAACCATATTCATGCAGTCCTTATGTCCACTACTGTGAGTATAAGGCAGTACTGTGAGTACTCAGGACAGCTGGGTAAGTGGACGGACCTTGTTCTGTGGCAAACTCTTACTCCACAGTTGTCCTTATCTTATGGTTATTACTGAACTATTCCACTTATCAGTCAGCAGCTATATGCCTCACATTAAGCTAAACATTTTATGTATAAGATCTTACTAGATCCTTGAAGCCATGCTACGAAACAGATGTTATTATCCTACCTGATTGGCAAACCAAAGGTATCAGTAGTGAAACCAATGGCTCAATGTTATAGGAACATAAGTTTTTAAATACTTAGCAACAACAATGACTAAAGATTAGGTGGTGTGTTGCCCATTAACTCATGAAGCAATCAATAACTTTCCTTGCCCACTTTGTCTGCTCAGGAGTCACTGTGTGGGAACTGATGACCTTTGGGTCCAAGCCTTATGATGGAATCCCTGCAAGTGAGATCTCGTCCATCCTAGAGAAAGGAGAGCGCCTTCCACAGCCACCTATCTGCACCATCGATGTCTACATGATCATGGTCAAGTGTGAGTGACTGGGGTGACCATCAATACTCATGGAGATGGGTCTGGAAGGACTTAACTACTCTTAGCCAAATATCCAAGGCCTTCATTTCCCTGAAGAAACATCATCAGTCTTTAAGGCAGGCACACAATTCCAGAAACGTCATAAACACCTCCTGCAAACATTCTTTAGGAATCACTTGCTTGACTCATCCTGACCTCATATTTTCCCATATTTGCAAGCAAATAAACTAAAGTCTTTCATAATCCATTATTCCAAAGTATTCTATTCTCTGAGTTGTCCAATGACCTTACAAAGTTGCCTTACATTCTGAGACCTGTTGCCAGAGAGACTTAATGTTTTCAAAATGCCTAACAATGAGTAACCATGGGAATTTGATAGAATCAACATTTCTGCTCCGGCTTAAACCTTTCAAACAGTGGGTTTACGTGAGGTCTCCTGTAGTATAGCAGTTAATCATTTTAATCCCAACAGGAGTGTGCATTTGGATCAGTGCTCTTATTCCACACAAATCACAAGTGTGCTCAGCTCTGAAAATAACATTGCACATGGGAGAGCCTTGGCATCAAAGCAAAGCACAGGAATATGGCAGAGCCACTGGCTCCCTCAGTATGTTTTCTGTTATGGTGATAAAACACTGACCAAAAGCAGCTTGGAGAGGAGCGTGTTGATTAGGCTTAACAGCCTACTGTCCATCGTCAAGGAAAGCCGGGGCAAGCACTCAACTCAGGAACCCGGAAGTAGATTCTGAAGCAGAGACCATGGAAGAATGCTACTTACTGACTTGCTCTCCCTGGTTCCCTCAGCCTGCTTTCTTACACACCTGAAAACCACCAGCCTAGGGGTGGTACCACCTACCATGGGCTGGACCCTCCCACATGACTCATTAATCAAGAAAAGGCCCGAGGACTTGCTGACAGGGCAATCTAATGGAGGCATTTCCTCAACTGAAGTTTCCTCTTCCCAGATGACTCTAGCTTATTTCAAGTAGACAAAAACTAACCAGAGCACATGCGGGTTAATATAAATAACAATGTATCTCTGAACTTTAGACCAGAGAGTTGATCTTTTCTCACTGCTTTGGTTTGGATTGAGGAAGCTGAGGCCCAGAAAGGTTACATGATATATGTCTAAGGTCACATAGCAATTTGGCCTAAAATAGTTTGACATCCAGTTGAAACAAAATAAATGTGAATCCCCAAGAGGCACAATGATTTCAAGTCCCCAGCTTATCCTCCCCATCACTGAATCTATATTGAGATCATTGTGCAATCCCGTGCACCAACGTGGCTGCTAAATATATCTTCACACAGAAGGTAATAGCTTTATGAGGCTCTAGGGTCAGTCCCCAGCATGGCAAAATAAATAAATAACAGGACATGGATGTAGCCTTGTCTTGTGTATGGATGGTAACTGATTGTAGAAGGCTTTGGTATTTCTCTGAATTTAATCTGGTTTCCAGTCTGGAAGGCTATGGAGTGGGGCCAATGACAGCGTGGAGGCACACGGAAGTCAGAGCAGTCCTGTAGTGACTGCTACACAGCACTGCTCTGTGGTCATTGAAGACCACAGTGTAACAATGATGGCTAAGGAAGAACAGGTGTAAGAACATGAAAGTATCTTATTGTTGCTCTGACTTAAAGGTATTGTGTAGGGCTGGGGATGAATGCACAAGTCCCTGGGTTAGATCCCTTAAAGGCAACAGCAATTTCTTATGGACTTTGAGAACCAACCAGTGTCCGCTCTTGTGCCGAGGTTGCGAAGTCGGCCCCAAAGATTCTGTGTCTTCATCATTCATTTGCCTAGAAAGCTCATAGCATAAGTGCTCTAAGCGACGCCCTCTTGACCATTTCGTGCAGGGCTCTAATTGCTCTGCTTTTCTTCATTCTTTTCTCAGGCTGGATGATAGATGCCGATAGCCGCCCAAAGTTCCGGGAGTTGATTGTTGAATTCTCCAAAATGGCCCGAGACCCCCAGCGCTACCTTGTTATCCAGGTACCGGGCTACAGTTTGTACTTCCATTGTCAAAATCCTTCCAACAGTTTCTGATACCACTGTGCTGGGTCAACACAACCCGTGGGACATTTTCTTGTTAATAAATCCTTTTGTGTATTGGAGCTGCCTCAGTTACAACATAATGATTCTGAACTACACGGGGATAAGCGGTGGGTTCCACCCAGCTCCAAAGTCACCCTGTCATTTGAGCAGTCCTACCTGGACCCAACCTGTTCCTCAGGTTCACATGTCAGTCATCTTACATTGTGGCTCATTAGAGCCCTGGCTTTGCTAAACAGAGAAGCGAGACTTCACTGGCAACCTACATGGCTTCTATCCTTGACTCTGTATTCATCCCTGTGCCATCTGGTACAACCAATCAGCCCATTTCCTCATCTGTTTCTGAAGTAACAAAACCAAGATCATTTGGCTTTGTGGATTTTAAGCTTCAGTAAAATAATATATGCAAAACACCTCGTATAACATTGTGTAAGGGGACAGTAAATATCCCCCCATTGCTTCTTCTTCTCCTTCCTCTTAAGCGGTTTTTCATATGCAGGCTGTCAGAACCAGATTTGTGTCTTTTATTACCTTGCAAAGCATCCACACGTGGCCAGGAAGCAGAAGAGCAGCTCCGTTGCCCTTTCTAATGGTCTCAAAATCTCTGCCCCAGGGGGATGAAAGAATGCATTTGCCGAGCCCTACAGACTCCAATTTTTACCGAGCCCTGATGGATGAAGAGGACATGGAAGACGTGGTTGATGCTGACGAGTACCTGATCCCACAGCAAGGCTTCTTCAGCAGCCCGTCCACATCTCGGACTCCCCTCTTGAGTTCTCTGGTATGCTCTCTCTCTCTCTCTCTCTCTCTCTCTCTCTCTCTCTCTCTCTCTCTCTCTCTCTGCTCTCTCTCTCTCCCCCCCCATGGTTTATATTGATTAATTGCCATTTTCTAGATTATACTTGGAGAAAAAGAAGTAAATTCTAACAAAACAGAACCTAGCATCATAATCAACAGTTATTTATTTTGTTGCCTAGTTTTCCTAAAGCTGTAATTCAAGACAAAAATCTTCTCTCCAAAAAAAATTTGCTTCCATCCAAAACATTAAACACCTTGAAATATTTCTACTCAGTGAGACCTACCTCCTGCATCTGCTGGAAATGGGTGAGAATATACCAGTGTACCTGAGCAACATTGTTTTCTTTTTTTTTTCCAGAGTGCAAACAGCAACAGTTCCACTGTGGCTTGCATTAACAGAAATGGGGTATGTATGAGCATGTTACAAACCAGCATCAAATAAGCTGTTTTTCAAGCCCTGTTACACAGGGAAAGTGCCCATCTCTGTCCACATCTGCTGACATGCCTTGCTGCACATTCTTTTCCACACCATGGCTTCTTTGACTGGAATCCTAAGGCCAGTCAAAGTGATTACTTATCGAACGAACACAGGAAGTGTAGTTCACAGGTAGACTGCATCAGCATCACCTAAAGCTGTTAGAAATGAAGATGTTCAGGTCTCCAGCAGATCTACCAGCAGGATCTGTGGGGGTGCCACTAGTGCTGGCATGAGCCTTCCAAGTCACACAGAACATAATGAAGTGCAGTGCAGAAGCCACCACACCACCAATTCAGTTTTAAATAGCATAAAATAAAATATAAAATTCAACTCGTCACACATCCCGAGTGTTCGGTAGCCACATGTGGCATGTGACAGCCTTATTATGCAACACAGATTAGAAGGCATCGCCATCCCTTCAGGACGTTCTGTTAGATGTACGGATCAAGACATTGTTGGTTTCTAACCCAATGGAACAGGCGTCACTTTGCAGCTTGTCAGAAGTCAGCTTTCCCGGACTCAGACTCCATCAAGTCTACTTTGTCTGTTTTTGTAACAGAGTCTATGTAGCCCAGCTGGCCTTGAACTCATGATCCTCATGTCTCAGCCTCTAGAGCTCTGAAATCAGAAGCACATGCCACCATAGCCAGCTTGAGTGTGCATTTTAATGAGACCACGGGTGGAGTTAATCTATAGCAAAGTCTGAGTAATCCTCACTGGATTCTTTCTCCAGCAGAGCTGTCGTCTCAAGGAAGACAGCTTCTTGCAGCGGTACAGCTCCGACCCGACTGGTGCCTTAAATGAGGACAGCATAGACGACACATTCCTCCCTGTGCCTGGTGAGTAGCTTGCTCAGGAAATAGTCATTGGCCTTGCTGTCTGCCCTCATTTCCTCCAGCACGAGTCGGTTGTTTCTTTCCAAGTCATCCAGAGGTGGAGACTGGCATATCTGTATATATGGTGAAGGGAGTAAAAAGAAATGGGAAAGTGAGCATGCCTGTGTCAAAGGCAAGTTACAGCTGGGTTTTCTGCAGATTTGTTGGGTTGGAAGCGAGTAGCGAAAGTGTCCATGTATGCATTCATCTACATACAAAAGATGGATATATGTGTCTTTTCTCTCTCTCTTTCACACACACCCTACACATCTTCCATTAAATTTGCAAAAACCACATGTGCACATTGCTTTGAGAAGAACAGAAAATATCACAGTTTATTGATCGTCTCCATAGTACTCCCAGAACTTCCTTGCCCTCTGACGTCAGTTGTCTCACTGAAGAGGGTTGCAGAGTTCCCAGAAATTTCAGAGCCATGAAGTTCTGCTTTGGGAATCTTGGGATGAAGCTTTACTAATTCACATGTGCTTTCTTTTTCTTTTCAGAATATATAAACCAATCTGTCCCCAAAAGGCCAGCAGGCTCTGTGCAGAACCCTGTCTATCACAATCAGCCCCTGCATCCAGCTGCTGGCAGAGACCTGCATTATCAAAATCCCCATAGCAATGCAGTGGGCAACCCTGAGTATCTCAACACTGCCCAGCCTCCCTGTGTCAGTGGTGGCTTTGCCAGCACTGCCCTCTGGGTTCCAAAAGGCAGCCACCAAATGAGCCTGGACAACCCCGATTACCAACAGGACTTCTTTCCCCAGGAAGCCAAGCCTAACGGCATCTTTAAGGGTCCCACAGCTGAAAATGCAGAATACCTACAGGCAGCACCACCGAGCAGCGAGTTTATTGGAGCCTGACGCGGAGGGATGTCATACCAGCTATAAAATTTCCAGACTTTGCAGCAGCCCAGGACCAAGCCGCAGCAGCACCTCCACTCCCGACAGCCATGCCCATCTTGTGCCAAACGTCAGGCCCTCAGACTGGTTTAAAACTGTAACTTTGATGGGCTTTGCCTTTGACCCAAGACGTGAGTGCCTCCTCTGACATACTTTGGGAAGTTGAAGATACATTTTTTGATCTTCAAACTGGGAAGAGTCTACAAAAAAAAAAAAGGCATCCATCAAGAATGTTGTCCATGGGAACAGAAGTTTACTTCATGGTGAGGTGCATGGGGGGAAAAACACACATAAGGAGATTTGCTGCATAGGGACCGGCATTGGGTTTTCACTTTCTTTACCGATTTGATTCGTGGGCTCTTCCAAGAAGGAAGAAGCTTGTTTGTGGTATGTATTACACAGAGTTGCCTGGGGCCAACTGTGACCGGACAGTTGGTTCCACCAGCTCTGCTTCAAGACACTTCTGTGGCAAGACAACTAGATACACTAAAAGCCCTGCATGCCCTGAGCAGGCCACATGTGTACAGCGTGAAACCATGGCTGGTACGATAGGATAAGCCACTCTGTTACTCACCGAGCGGGGCTGGGAGAAGAAGGATGAAGGGGTAGAGTTTTCCCTCCGACTTACTTTTGTACAAATATGTCCCTGGTACTCAACCCACACTCTTTACTTACCAGTGTTTTCTGACTCTTAGAATTCCTTGTATGTTTTCCGTTTCATTGTTTTGAATTGTAATATGCTTTCCCATCTTGATGTCATAAAGTCAGCAAAAAAAAAAAAAACAGTATTATCAAAGAACAACCATGATGCCACATTTGAACCATCAGTGTTCTACCCAAAAGCCTTTAATCAAGATGGGGTGACAATGCAAAAGTTCAGAGGAATATAACCCAAAATTTTAGTCTCGGCGTCGTGTCTGTTGAGACATGGATCAGGAGACCACAAAAGTGATGCAGCTCTTCAAATCCACTTTGCCTTCACCCCCTCTAGACCTCAAAATTAGTATAAAACACCCATGGAGAATAATCTTTTGTTCATTTTTATAAGCGTTTACTGGAGATATATTTTCCTCCCTGGTAAGTAAGCTGCCACCAAAATTTTCTTTCCCTTTGAGAGAAAATGATCTAGGCTACTGTGTAATAAGTGACAGTCCATGATAAGCACCATATGCAAGTTCCAAGAGAAAGAATGTTGAGAATCAAGTGGAACTCAGGTGATAAGCGTGCAACCTGAGTTGGGAAGTAACAACAATGCTTCCATGGATGCTTTTCGGAAGAAATCATCCCCAAGTAACCCCACTGTCATCGGTGCCTCCGGCTACTCAAGGTCTCAGTGCTTGTTCTTATTTTGCTCATCCTTGCAGCCCGATGAGTTAAGAGCTGTCTTTGGTAAAACAATATTTTAATGCTCCTGGTATCCATCTCTTCCCATTTATCAAGAGGTGGGTAGAAGTGGACTTACAAACACTAACCATAAGGCAAAAAAAGTGAATGCCAAGTACGTTATATCAGCCAGGCACCAAGAGCACAGAGCAGGGACGATCTAGAAAGTTCACAAAGGAAATAATATTGCCCATTGTCCTCTGAGATTAAAAAGGTCTTAAACACCAGGGAATGGAAAGTGTGTTTCCTTAGAGAATTCAACCGAGAGAGCAATGACAGAGAACTCTACTAGTAAGTCAGGTGCAAGGCCAAGTCAGTCATCCTGCTGCTCCGTCAAGCCTGGTAATGAGGCTTGCAGCATCCTCTGAGTTTCCTAACTGTTGTCCACTTCTGGCAATGTCAGGCTGTCATCTACAAAAATAAGTAGTTAGAAAATTAAGCAACATTTCTAGAGATTGAAATTCCAAGCCATTGTCAGGAAACGTCACATTGATCGTTTATCCACCGAGAATGCAGAGGAAACATTTAGGCAGGTGTTTGTTCAAAATTGGAATTCAAAATGACCCTGTCACTTGTCGGGGCAGGTGATTGGTGAGGGAAAGCAGTAGAAAGCCAGTCAAACTGTAGCAATGAAATCTTAGTATTTTTGTACTTTGAAACACTTTTCTTATAACAAAATAAAGTAGCAAAAACTATTCAAACTTGCTTTTCTTCTTATTTAAATATTCTGCCTAAAGTTTAGTTGTTGTCAGGGTTAAGGTTTTGTTTGCCAACGTGTCCTCACTGTTTCTGTGTGGGAGACACGGGGCTGTGAGAGCTGCAAGGCAGGCCCTTTAAAGCAGTGGTTCTCAACCTGTGGGTCATGACCCCTCTGGGGGTGGTCAAATGGCCTTTTCACAGGGGTCACCTAAGAACGTCAGAAAACACAGATATTTACATTACAATTCATAACAGTAGCAAAATTACAATTATAAGTAGCAATGAAAATAATTTTATGTTCGGGGGTCACCACAACATGAAGAATTGTATTTGAGGTCGTTAGGAAGGTTGAAAACCACCACTTTAAAGGGACCTTAACAGCCATTGGTGTAAAATAAAGTACAGAGAGGGGAGGCACCATGCTGGGTCCATCATTCTGTTACATCCCCATCAGCCTATCTCAGCTTTACTCTTCCGTTACATAACCAGACCCATATACCTCCCAGGACATCTTCCTACTAATTGTCTCCATCCAATCTTAAATGAACTTTCCCTATACCCCGACCCCACCCTGGCTCTTGGGTAGTTCAGGGGAAAATAGATATATGGAACTAACACTTAAAATGGGCACGAACATTATACATATGATCTACAAGGAGCCCCTATCATGATACCCTATGAAAATTACTTTTTACCTCATGATGGGAAATGATAATCTCTTAAATCCTAGATTTTCTGTTAGTCCTGCTGCCATGAACTTTCTAGATAGAAGGACTGTTGGGGGGGACCAAATTGCATTTCTAGCTAATGATAACACAGTTTAGGCATTTGTTGAACACTGTTTTGTGCCTTAGAATGCCATCTCATCCCCAAACTGTAGACATAAGCCTTGGTATAAGCGCTAAAGGACTAGGTCTTGAGCTGTGCTACCATGAGACATTTCCAGCCAGTAGAGTTTCAGTTTGATTCTTCTTAAGCCCCTGGACTTTTCAGAGTACCCCCAGGATAGCCAATAAATACCAAAGTTTCAAGAACCACTGTTGCAGAAAAAAAGTGAAGACTTGAGAACAGGACCCTCAGCCCTCACTAATGGCTGCCCATCTGCAGTCATTCTTTTCTGTCCTCCGGTTGCACTTGTATAAGACAAAGCCAGTACATGATGCTCATGTACCTACTTCTACCCTCACTGCCAATGAGAATTCCCTGAAGAGCTTAGAAAGATTTCCCGAGACCTTACAGTCTAATCCAGTCAGAATCCCAGAGATGCACCCCACCGTTGATCCCAAGAGAGCCTGGGGTGAAGTCCTCATCTGCACCCTCACCCTCTTCGTCATTTCTGCAGGTCTGCCACTATCTCTACCCTGCCCAAAGTCAGAGCTGAATAAAAGCCTGGGTAGGGGAGAGACTCCCTGGCACATGAGATGGAAAATTGGCAGTCACCACGATGCCTGCGACTTGGCCGCAAACGTGGCCTTTCCAAAATCCAGCTCTCCCCTCCTATCTTTTTTTTTTTTTTCAGTACAACCTTTATCCTGAAAATGGCAAATATCTAAATCTGAGCCTTGCTAAAGTTCCGGGACATCTTGCTAAAGTCCTGGGACATTTTGTGTTATCTAAGAAACAAGTCATAAAAACCAACAGCCTCCTCCCACCCACCCCCACACTGAATGAGCTGTTCCCACTCAAGAAGCACATGTTAAAATTTTGCTTAATCTCCACTTTCTTTTGATAAGCATGTATTTGTATTTTCACATAATGATCTGTTTACATTTCCTTGTTTGGGGGCTGTAAAACCTTAACTGAGCAGAAACCCTGCCTCCTTTTCCCAACCACACCTGCCATTCCAGAGACAAACATCTTTGTACTGTTAAAGCCACATTTAGACAGAATTTGTAAATGTAAACATATTTTTGTAACTTTTTTTCAGTATTTTCTCTTTTTTATGTAGCACTGAACTTTGTAAAATATATTTTTTAGGAAACTCATTTTTTAACTAAAAAAAACTATGCTTTAGAAAAACTGCAATAGAATCAAAATTTGAAATTGAAATCTTTGCTTAAAAACGGTTCAGCAGCGGTGAGGGGAGAAGCCTCTTTTCTCTTAGGTGAGTGTGCAGCCTCATTGCTGAGCTAAACTGGGCGGGTCACTGCCACAGTGAATGGGAGGAGGGTCCTTTCAGAATCCTTCCAGGCAGAAAAGATGGAAGGCACACAAACTTAGTGCTGTGCTGGTCTGAGCAGGAGCTGTGGATTCTGAGCCAATGTTCACACAGGAATTGCTGCCTGCTCATCACTGCTAGAAGAATTTAAATGTGTGTCCTCAGATCATCTGCTAACATGACCTTGTAAATGTAAGAGATGTGATGACACAACACTTTGTTGGTTCACATATACTGATACGACATTAACGCCAATTATTTTGTTTTTATATTTACAAATGTCGTTCACTTACTACTATGTACTAGGCATGTCTGGAAAGCCATAATAATATGTACGCTGTTTGGGTTACTCAATATATTCTTGAAGTCTATCAAGGGCAGACACGGTCACTCTAGAGAAGACTTTGTCAGGCATGCAGTATAAAATTGCCTATGTTAGTTTTAAAACTGTTGAAACCCAGCCATATCCAAGAGTAATCAAATATGAATTTCCATGGGGTAAAACCTGAGAATTTTTACTTCTTACAAAAGTCCTAGGTCCCTTCTATTGTATAGACAAGGCTACAAATGACAGGCTCAGGGATTAGCCCTAGACTCGCAGGTGACTCTGCAGAGGCAGATGATGTCCAGACTCAGAGACCCCTAAGCCTGCTTGTCAGCATCTTTCTGGGAGATGGGGTGTCCTGTCAGGAACCTAGGCGGGATTCCCGCTGCAGCTGTCCAGGCATTAGAGGGTAAAGTGGCTAGCCAATGGGAAAGAAGCAGAGGAAGTGTAGCACAGACACCCCACCACCATTTTTGTGCTGCCGAAGCAAACTCTAATCAGAATGGGTGGCAGTAAAGTAAAGGTATTAGGCTGCTTATTCATCCAACATCGTCGGCAACCCCCTAACCTCTATTTCTCAAAATGAAAATCTCAACCTACTATTTTGACTGCAAAGGGCATACTTTAAGACAATTAGCAAATACTTGGGTGGCCTTTATAGGAATAAAGTTCCAAGAACAGGAATTTTGTATTAAGAAACACACACACACACACACACGCACGCACGCACGCACGCACGCACGCACGCACACAAATACACTGAAGCAGCTAATCCAGACTTTTCTGCCATGTACATATGCACAGTGATCCTCTGAGGTCTAAACCTGTCTTGCCTGAATTACCAACAAAATTGCTAAGAGTCATTACCCCCAACAACATCAGAAAAATGTAACAAAGGATTTAGGTTTGTATGTCTTCGGTGCACTTTTTATTTGGAAAATGTAATTCTCCACTCTCTTGATTTGGGTACAAAGTATGGTTGCTATACACTACAATGGCATAGAATTAGACATCCCAGGATACGATGACGGCTTCTAGAAGTGATGACAGGACTGATTCACACCAGACAGCAATCATTTCATGTCCGTTTCATTCACGCCATCGCTCTACAGCTTCTTCTACGGTGCATTTTAACTTTGTAAAGTTCTGCAATGATGGAAGCAGTATCTGTACAAATGGAAAGCAGGGTCTCTGACATACTGTCGATTGGAACATGTTGATTGTACACTAAGCATTGAAAACCCAGTGTGTCATCTTCATTGTTTGCTGTTCCGCAGAACTTAATAACTTTGCGTTCTCTCTTAACACTGTTGGGCTGGCTTCTGTTATTATTCATATCTGACTATAGACATTCATTCCTGACTTTTTCCTGTTTTCAAAGTTATTTTCACTTTATAACTTGTGGATTTTGTGGTGCTGTATGGACCTCAAATAAGCTGTATCCCCACCCCAACTGAAAACTTTTTTTAAAAAAATTAATAAACCTTATTTTCAGAGAAGATTTAGAAACAAAGCAAAATAGAAAAGAAAGTTCAGGGAGCTCCCATGTCCCTCCTGTCGCCACACATATGCCCTCTCCATTATACCCACCCTTACTGTAGTAGCCGAATAACTGTAGGAAAAAACCTACAAGCCACTTCAGAGACATTCCTTGTACAACTGGACTCATTTCCTAGATTCTTTTGCAGCTCTTCAGATACAATGTGGTCCTTTCCAGACTTTCATATTCCTGACCGACAGGTAGACATACCACAAAAACAAAGGCAAGGCATCCTACCGAAGAAACGAATTGTGCCATGGAAGAGAACTACTTCCAGAAACCCAGACCCAAGGACTGAGCAGCACTGAGAACCTAGGTTGGCAAGCACAGGGCATGGAGGGGAGGCTCACTCGTCAGCTGGCTAGGGAGGGCTGCCAAGTCAGTGACCCTGGCCCACTGAGTGGTCTCTGGGGCTTTAAGTTCTTGACTCTCCAGTAGGTTGACTCCAGAGAATAAGCCAAGCACTTCATTACACCACTTTCCCTCCAGCAGCTGTTCCCACACAATGCTCTACCTTGTTTCTTTTACACAGGAAGATTGAGCTCAGGAAGTTGGGCTCTGGGGCTCCAACAGCCCTCCATCAGGGCTGGCTGGGAATCATTTCCAGGGAAGCCACTGATTTATCTCTGTGTTTTTCATTCTAGACACTATCAGTCATTTAAAAGTGTGGGGCTAGTCCATGGAGAATGAGGTCTCCAAGACAGCTAGGTCCATGTACAATAAGAAAATGAGGAGCTGCCCAGTCTTGGCTCTGGGCCTAGAATCCAATGTAGGGCTTTCCCACTCTCCCTGCTTCCTGACTTCCACCTACTGATTGGCTGTATCCCCATCCTCTGCATGTGGGCCTCTGGGAAAGAAAGCTCCGGAAGCCTCCAGAGCACATTTGAATGTGTTAGAATAAAAGAGTTTAGCGTCTCTACAGAGAAGAACAACTTACATCAAACAACGTAAAGGTAGGATGTTCTAGGGCCCT